GGGATGGAGCTCAGTGGTTAAGCATCCCTGGGTTCAATCTCTAGTACTCCCCCTACCCTATGCTGGGAAAAGAAAAGTGAGAAGTTAGCAAGATGAACTCATCAACTAGGTCAGTTTTACTGACTTGCTGATGCCCAGTGTTCAGTGTCTTCTTCTTTTTTTTTTTTTTTTTGATACTGGGGATTGGATCCAGGGATGCTCAACCACTGAGCCACATCCCAAGCCCTTTTAAAATTTGAGACAGGGTCTCATTAAGTTGCTTAGGACCTCGCTAAATTGATGAGGCTGGCTTTGAACTTGGAATCCTGCCTCAGACCCCTAAGCTGTGGGATTACAGGTATGTGCCACTGCACCTGGAAGGATTTTCTAATCTTATGTTTATTTTGTCTTTTGTCTTTTTAAAAAGTTGGGGTAAAATGTGGGGGAAAAAAAGTTGAAGTGAAATTCACAGAATGAATGTAAAATCAACTATTCGAAAGTTAATGATTCAGTTCTGTTTAGTGCATTTACAAGTTGTACAATCAGTACCTTTGCCTGGCACCAAAACACTTTCATCACCCCCAAATAAAACCCCATATGATGAARCAGTTACTTCCCATTTCTTCCTCCCTCCAGCCCTAACAACCACTAACAACCACTAACCACCAAACTGTCTCTGGATTTATCTATTCTGGATATGTTTTTTTTCATATAAATCAGTCCCATTTTATTCACATACATTTCATAAACATGAAATGAAAATATATTGGTAAGGAGTCTTTTAGAATAGAGTGCCAGGACACATACTTTATTTTCTTTCATATTTTCCCCCCAAATTCCCACTTAATGTCTGTTTTTAAAATTAAATTATTTATTTTGATTTGTTATATATGATGGCAAAATGCAATTCATTTCATATTACACATGTAGAGCACAACTTTTCAAGTCACTGGTTGTACACAAAGTATTTTCACACCACTCATGTCTGCATACATGTACCTAGGGTAATGATGTCTAACTTATTCCATCGTCTTTCCTGCCCCCTTACCCCCTCCCTCCCCTTTGCCCTATCTAAAGTTCCTCCATTCCTCCCATGCTCCACCCTCCTCATCACCATTATGAGTTGGTATCCTCATATCAAAGAAAACATTCAGCCTCTGGTTTTTTGGGATTGGCTTACTTCATTTAGCATTATCTTCTCTAACTCCATCCATTTACTTGTAAATGCCATGATTTTATTCTTTTAATGCTGAGTAATATTCCATTGTGTATATATACCAGTTTCTTTATCCATTCATCCACTGAAGGGCATCTGGGTTGTTTCCACAACTGAGCTATTGTGAATTGTGCTGCTATAAACATTGATGTGGCTGTGTCCCTGAAGTATGATTTTTTTAAGTACTTTGGGTATAGACAGAGGAGTGGGATAGCYGAGTCAAACGGTAGTTCCATTCCAAGTTTTCCAAGGAATCTCCATACTACTTTCCAGATTGGCTGCACCAATTTCTTTTAGTTATAGATGGACAGAACACCTTTGTTTTATTTATTTTTAAGTGGTGCTGAAGCTTGAACTCAGTGCCTCACATGTGCTAGGCAAGCACTCTACCACTGAGCCACAACCCCAGCCCCCTCTTCTGAATATTTTATATAAATGGATTCCTATAACATATAACCTTCTGTGTCTGACTTCTTGGGCATAATTTTTGAAATCCATCCATTCAGTATCTCTATTTCTTTTTTGAACACACCAGCTTGTTTTATTTGGGAGCAATAAAGATACCCTCATTCTCAGGTGAATTAAAAAAATATTTTAGTTGCCTATGGACCTTTATTTTACTTATTTATATCAGTACTGAGAATTGAACCCAGTGCCTCACCTTTGTTAGGCAAGTGCTCTACCACTGAGCTACAACCTCAGCCCTGTCAGATGAATATTTAAGAAGATGGTTTATTCAGGGCTGAGAGTGGACTCAACATGGGAATTAAAATATCACAGGATGAAATGAGTGTTTCTCATTTAAGTCCAACACCCTGTGCCAAGTTGTTGTCTAGTTTTCTTCTGTTTAGTCCTTAGAGGGCTGTGGGTTATTTTAAATGAGGAAATGYTTACGCACAATGCTTGGCATATAGGTAGTATTTATTACTCTTATAAATGCGATGTTCAAAGTCAATATTAACTCTGATTTCCTTCTTACAATTGAGGGCTTTGCGGGCAGACAGTAGAGGACAGTGGTGAAGTGTAGGTACACTAGATCAATCACTTGAYTTTAATCCTGGCTCCGGCATTTATTAGCTATTCAACTTTTGGAAGACAGCTTGACTTCTCTGTGATATGGTTTCCACTTAACAGAACCACTGGGAAGATTAAATTACCAAATTAAAGCCCTGAACACCAAGCCTAGGACACGTTAAGTGGTAGTGTTTCACGCCTGTAATCCTAGAGATTGGGATGCTGAGGCAATCCTAGAGATTGCTTGTTCTGAGTTTGAGGCCAGCCTCAGTAATTTAGTGAGGCACTAAGCAACTTACAGACTGTGTCAAAATAAAAAATAAAATCAGGCTGGGGATGTGGCTCAGTGGTAATGTGCCCCTGGGTTCAATCTCCAATATAAAAAAATAACAACTACCACCACAACAAAACCCCAAAACCAAAACCAAACCAACAAGAAAAAAAAAAAACAACCCAAAAAACAGGAGATACTAGTCTTTGATTTGAATCAGTCACACATCTTCAAAATATCAGCTTCAAAACATCCTTTTTGAAATCTTTTTCTTGGCAACTTTTCCATAGTAAATAGAAATGGCAAAATCATACTATTTATTTTGAAATAGAAAAGTAGTCATTATAGCATCTAAACATTTGAAGGCATAACTCCAAACATTGAGGACTTGATGACCACAATTAAAATCTTGTTTGTTAACTTTTTTTCTCCTCTGAGGTGTTTCTCCTTCTTAAAGAACACTGGGGAGAAAATGATGAATAACGGCTCTGGCCCCTTTGGTGGTATTAGGGATCAAACCCAGGGGTGCTCTTTAAGTTTTGGGACAGGATCTCCCTATGTTGCTGAGGCCAGCCAATTTGCAATCCTCCAACCTCAGCCTCCTGAGTTGGTGGGATTATAGGCATGTATCACCATGCCTGGAAGGTACATAATACACTGGAAGGTACATAATATTATTTGAAAACAGAATTTAAGAACAACATTAAAAAATGAGGCACGTCATCACCTTTTATGATAGTGGAGGTTGCATTGAAGAACCATTGCTTGTTCTGATTTATTTTTTAAAAGTCTGTGGGCTGGGGTTTTGGCTCAGTGGTAGACGCTTGCCTAGCATGTGTGAGGCACTTGGGTTCAATTCTCAGCACATATAAATCAATAAAGGTCCATCAACAACTATAAAAATAAAAAACATTAAATAAAAGGTATGTTTGCCTCCTTGAGCCTCTGTACACATGGATTCTCCTGCAGAAAGATACCTATCCATAATAATGAAAAACAAGATGCTTGTGTTGGAAACCAACCCATGGAATGCTCAACATGATGGGCAAAATTCTTACATCYAACCTATGGAAACAAACACAGGTGACAGGGTATCATAGCCCTTAAAGGCTGATTCCTCATTAATTGTTTCTATGCAGTGATGCTTCCCCAGMCTTACACTTTAAACTTTATTGTGATTATCTGCACTTGTGGCAGAGATCCAGTTGGATTTTAAAAGTAAGGAATGTACAAGAGGTGACCCATGGGACGGAAATTTTAATAGGGGATGAGAGAGGACAAGGTGAATTTTTTGGGGGAAGGCAGACCTAGCAATACAGATAGTAGGAAAGTCATGGGCTCCTAGGATTGGGAGAATGGTACTAGAAAACAGGTGAGGAATGCAGAAAAGAGGAGGTCAGAGATTTTCTTCCCAATGGGTAAACTTATTTAGAGGTGGGATCTTGCTATGCTGCCCAGACTGGCCTCCAGCTTCCAGGCTGAAATGATACTCTCATGTAGCTGGGACTAAAGGCATGTGCCATTTACCCCAGGCTTTTATTTTCCAAAGCTCATTTACTTCAGACTTATTTTATTCTTTATATATGTAAAGCAATTAAGATAATGAATTGCATAAAATCAAGTTGCTGGGATAAAATTTCYAATTTCATTCATGTTTAAGATTTGAATAGGGCTGGGAAAACTGTTTTAAGCCTACTAGAAGAGGGAAAGCCTTATTTTATTTTCTCAAATAGGTAGCAAGTAATTAAATGTATATGAATACAATAAACATATCTCAAAAAAGAATGATACAACTTTTATTTTCCATGGATTTTAAAGATACTTTTGCTACACAGTTTATGTATTCTTATGAGATTATATTTTACCATTTTTATGAAGTTTAATCTTGTACAATTTTAAGGTGATATGTTTGGTAGTGTATCTATAACCTTTAAAAAGTTTAGAGTTTTGGAATGTACAGTATATGAGGTAAAATCAAGATTACATTAAAAATTGTTTTCTCCTCTGCACTAATTTTGCAGTGAGGCTCAAATGGCAAGTACACTATTAAATGACATTTACTATCAAAAATAGGAGTTCATTTGAATTACTATGAAAAACATAAGCCACTGTAACTTGTCACAGTGGCACATTTTACCATTTTAGACATTCAACTATATAGAAATCTCTGGGCTCTTACACTCAAACTCATTTGTACTGCCAAATGTGGCACTTTAAAGAATAAGTTTCTAGAAAACAATCGMAATCGCTGTTGTTTTGGGGGAAGGTTATCACCCTATACATAAAGAGATTAAATAAAATGTAAACATACAGTATATTATAGTGACAGATCATTCTTACCACTCGGAAAGGCCAAGTTTATCCGTTTCTTTTTTGAACAAAGGTTAATGTTTTTTTTTTTTTTTCCTACAGCACAGATCATTTGACATAAAACAATTACAATACATGCCCATTCTATTAAGGGAAATTCTTCAGAGATCTTCAAAGCACAAAACATATATTCCTTTTTTCAAGACTGACAGAAGTGCTTAGTTATCACTAAAATGCTAACTTCAGCAACTAAAAATTAGTGATTCACTATCCTAAAATTCAAATAATAAATTAAAAAGCTAGTTACAGGTGTTTTACAGATAACAGATGTGATAAAACAAGAATTTTAGATAGTTTCATTACAAACTGTATTATTACTGGCAGTTGTCAACATCTAAGCAAGATGTACAATGTGATACTCGACAAGATTCAATCTGATCATCCAATAACTCACAAATGCAAGCTCACAAAACATTAATGAATTATGCAATTGCAAAGTGCTCTAATGCAACATTAACCACATGCAATCAACAATTTGGAACAGTATCTGAACAGACATTACACATTAAACATTAGTTTTTCAAGAAAGAAAGCAGCTTGAAGTTTACTGGTGCAAATTAATTTGTCTTCAGATTTGGTGCCCCAAACAAAAAAGGTTAGGTTTGATTATGAATTTTGATGGTGATGGCAGTAGTTATAGGAGAAGCAGCAAAGTTTAYGGGAGTTCTTCAAAATTAGCCTATACCAGAGAGGTGGAGTAGATGTGTGTATGTATGTATTCCTACACTAGGTATGTATAGTTTATATATATGTCATATATGTATGTGTGTGCCCTTACAAACATACATATAGTCCAAAGGCTCACAAAACAAGCCAAGTAGGTTTGAAATTCAGAGTTGGTTTTTATGATGATTTTTTAAAAAAGTTACTATCTAAAAGTCTCTGTTTTTCCATGTTCTCAAGACCCAAAGAGGTACTTTTGGAGTAAACATTGAAATATTTTTAGGCCAAGTAAACTGCCTGTGCTTTCTTTGACTTATCTGTGAATCCATGAATATATACTTGTAATGAAGAACTCCACATTTATCAAACAAGAAGGTTCTTTTTCACACATGGTCTTTCATCCAGTTTTTGCTAAGCCCCTCCAGTTATTCATCATAATCCCACTTACCAAATAATTAAGACAAATGAGGAGGTAGAAATATAGCACTAGATTGCTTTCACAGCATCAGACTTTAACATTTTTATATAGCACATTAGTGTAAATTCTAGTCATTCTGAATTTTCACTTGGTAATAATCTTTATCAGGTCATCACTGTTTCACTCATGGTGACTGGTCAAAATTATCAATTATAAATTGTTGTCTCTTAGAAAGTTTGTTCTACAAGAAGGCATGTCAGAGAGAGAGAGAGAGAGAGAGAGAGAGAGAGAGAGAGAGAGAGAGAAAGTCAAAAGTACCAACCAAAAAACCCTCCCCAAAATTGATATTTCTGTGGCTTGCATTCTAATAAAGTGCCAGCCTCTACCTAACAATATGAGCACTGAAAATGGCAAAAAATGATGTGCTATAGTCTCAATGCCAGTGCTAAATGCCATCGTTTTTGTAAAAGCGTTACGGAAATAATTTTAGTACATGACAAAATAAAATGTAATACAGTGTTAAAATAAAGTTATATTTTCACTTGATTACAAAGTACTGAATGATAAAGGCAATCAAAATGGAAAAAAAAGCAAAYAGCACAAGGATGACAGCAGCACACTGCTCGTCACTTAGCGTGCGCCGGGTCCGGGTGCTTTCCACAGTGTCTCTATTGGTGCTGGCTGGCGGTTCTGTCCTCTGAGAGATGAAGAGCACTGTGGTGCTGTAGGGACCGACTAGGTCCTGGTGCCCCAAAGGATCTTGGCACTGGCGAATGGCACACACTCTGAAGCGATATTCACAGTTCAGTTGGAGGCTGGAATACCGGAAGGAAGAGTCCGGACCTTTGTAAATCTGTCAATGAAAGATTAAAAGGAAGAATCGTGTGTAGAGTCTAGTCAGAAAATGTGTTAACAATGACTAGTTTTAGAATTATATTTTAACACGAAAGCTAGTAAAATATCATCGACTTTATTTTCCGCAATACTGGGGATTGAACCCAGGGGCACTTTACCACTGAACCATGTACTCGGTTCTATTTTTATACTTGGAGACAGGGTCTTGCTAATTTGCCAAGACCCTGTCTCAAAACAATAAATAAAAAGTACTAGGAATGCAGCTCAGTGGTAAATTGCTCCTGGGTTCAATCCCCAGTACCAAACTAACAAAGCACACACAAAATAAAACACAAAAAACCCCTGAACACCCTATCCATTAAAGTACTTATCTGTCTGCTGGATAAGGGCAGGAGAAATTTGACAAGTGAGGATGAAAGACCTAGCCTCACAGCTTACAAACCAGTTAAGGAGTGAAGATGTGCCCTAAAACGGCAAGAGAAYAAGCAAGTCAGCCAGCTCTCAGGCACTTCCCAGCTTTCCTCACATGCAGGAAGTCATTTTTGGTGACTTCATTCCATGTGAGGGAGAAAGACTATAATCTTGTCTCCCCCTCACCCCCACTTTCGGCTAACTAGTAACTTTCTATAAAAATTTAAACACATCAGTTGAATGAAACAACAGGAATTTTCTATAGGTACCTGTGGTAAATCACTATAAACTTCAAAGGCTCCTCTACCATGTCTCAGGGTGGAGGGAGGGAGGAAGGGGAGCAGAAAGAGAGAGAAAACAAGAGTTGCATGGATTTTTAAGGAAGTGTGCTACTCAACAGGAAGATGGAATTGGTCACCCAGTGGTCCAAGCTCTGTTCCACCACCTCCCACTCCAGTAAATTTAGATCAATTACCTCAGTACAATAGGCATAACAGTACTTAACTTGTATGGTAATTATGAGGATGAGATGAGCTAATAGCATAAGAAGAGCATTCAAATGTGAAGGTAACTGTTCTCATTAACGAGTCCCTCTTCTCACTCTATTAATRAGAAAACCAAGGCTCACAGGGTGGAATCATTCCCCAATTGGCTTGCTCCCACTAGCTGTTGGGCTACAAATTAGATCAACCAATACCTGAGCTAGCATTCTTTTAAGCACTTTTAGCATACGGGCCTGCTCCTGAAGAAAATCTCTTGCTTCATTTTTTGTGTCTCCAGAATCCAGTAGGTACTTAATAAAAGGCCTCTGTGAATTATTAACTTTAACATAGATAAAGGAACTTTTATTCATCCTAAGATAAATCTTACAGAAAATAGTTTTTATACATTAGTTTGGAGAACACAGATGAACATCTCAGGGAGTAGGAATGTAAAACTGATCCATATATGAGAGATGGTAATAAATTAAATGATTTTGGGCTGAGGTTGTGGCTCAGTGGTAGAGTGCTTGCCTAGCATGTGTAAGGCACCGGGTTTGATTCTCAGCACTGTATATAAATAAATAAAATAAAGGTCCATCAACAACTAAAAAAAAATTAAAAAATAAATAATTTTGTATTAGAAATCAGTATTAAAAATTTACACATATGATAAAGCCAACTTGGTAAAAATTAAAAAATGTATTTTTTATGAATATAAAAAGTGATTTTAATTTTTGTCTTTAAGCTTTATTTTCCTTATTAAGCTTTATTTTCCATGTCTCCAAATGARCATGACAATGTATGGTTAGGGGAAAAAACTGTCAACAAATGGCATGAACATGACAAAAGAAGAGGAGATCTGGCAAAGACATCTGGCTGGGGAGGTGGTTCAGTAGTTAAGCATTTGTCTAGCATATACAAGGTCCTGATATCTAGTACCTCATTAAAAAAAAAAAAGTTCAGAGATCTGTCAGAGAGAGGAGGAATACATTTAATTTTTCTAGTTTAGAAATTTAGGTAGATTTAACATAAAAGGGGCTATTTTAGGGTATCACATTAAGTAGTATTAAAGGAATCCTGATCATGTTGTATGAGGGACTAAAGGGAAGTGGACAGGACACTCTTGYTGAATAAAGCTATGAGGTCCTGATGTAGTCTCCCTTTTCTGGTACTGGGGATAGAACCCAGGGGTGCTTTAACACAGAGCCACATCCCCAGCCCTTTTAATTTTTTATTTTGAGGAAGGGTCTTGCTAAGTTGTTTAGGTTAGTCTCAAACTTGCCTTCCTCCTGCCTCAGTCTTCTCATTAACTGGGATTACAGGCATGTGCTACTGATGTATTTTTTTTTTTTTTTTTATGAACCTAGAAATGACTTTTGAAAGAGCTGGTAGGAAAGATAAAAAATTTACTGGAATCTTTTTAAAAAATAGTTGTAGATGGATACAACACCTTTATTTATTTTTATGTGGTGCTGGGGATGGAACCTGGTGCCTCACACATGCTAAGCATGTGCTCTACCCACTGAGCTACAACTGCAGCCCCAGGACCAAGATGATCTTGATGCCCATGATACTAATGAAGTTAGGAAGAAGTTGGAAAGATGATGAYATAAAATTTTCTCAGTTTTATGTTTCAAATGTTGGAAGGATCTGAAGGGGGACATCTTATAGATACTTGAAATTATTTTGGTCATTGCTACTATTCAGATAAAATTACATATTATTTAAACAAAATAGCCCTTTATATTTGCTACAAATGAATTATCTATTCATAGATAGGCAAATATCAATATAGATTTACAGTTAAGAGAATATCAGGTAAGAGATTACTATTTTAACTTTGCATTTTAATAGGGAACTGCAGATTAAAAATGTAAGCTTGTGAAGTTTTTATGTGTCTAGTTAGCCAAGAGATTTGAAACAGTATGCCAACTGCAACAGGACTTTACAAGGAAACCTTCAAAGAAATTTAAAGTTTCATAAATTGATATCTGTCCTTAATTTAGTATTATGAATATTTTGAACCATGGAGAAAATAACAATTGGAGAATTATGATCAAGAAAAATGAATCTGGTATCTTATCTGATTTTATCTCTACATTCTCAAAACCCATTTGGTTGGCTAGATACACTTCATTTATCAAGTACTCCTACTAAAATTCAAAATAGTTATTTCTGAGGACAAGTGTACATTCAAAGGTATCAACTTTTGAGGCAGTTTTTTTTTTTTTAAACAAAGGAATAGATTTTAACTATCACTACTTCTTGTGTGTATTATATAACCATAATCTGGTTTTGCAGTGAATCATATGCACAATAAATATTATAGTTAAATACAATAATTTTAGCAATACACTATTTTTGAATTGAGTACAAACAACTYAAGTCATTCCTTAACATATCATGTATTTGATAATGAGCAATACATTGAGAACAGTAAAGCCCCTCAATAACAACTAAATATAGATAAATAACTAGCAGCTCATCTATCTTCTATCTACTTTATTACTGATAAGGGAGTTATAGGTGGAATTTTATGAGCAGTTATTAAATTTACTATGCGTGATTTCTAAAAATTTTTATTCATAGGAATCATTTGGAACTTTAAAACAAAATAAAACAGAACTGTGCACTCGATTAGACAAAGGGGAATGAAGGGAARGGAAAAGTGATGGGAATAGAAAAGACAGTTCATATGAATACATGACCAGTCTKACTCCACATCATGTACAACCACAAGAACGGCAAGTTATATTCCATGTCTATATGATATGTCAAAATACCCTCTACTGTCATGTATACCTGAAAAGAACAAATGAAAAATAAAGAAAACAAAAAACCCTATAGAATTGTGGGCCCTATCCTCAGATATTTGGGTTCATTAGGTCTGGAAGGCACACTGAGGACCCAGGTCTTGAGAATCTGAATTCAGAAGCTTATGAAAGGAAGTAGATTCTATATGAATCCACTGTCTCAGCAATTGTTCCTACTATGATGGTATGTGTTGACTGGGCTAAGGGGATGCCCAGATAGTAGGTAAAACACTGCAGCAAAGTATGTCTGTGAGGGCCTTTCTGGAATAGATTAGGCTATGAATTGGCTCAGTGAGTAAAGAAGAYAATCCCCACCAAGGTGTTTGGCATCATTGAATCTTTGAATAGAACAAAAAGGCAGAGGAAGGGCAAGTTTTCTCTGCTTAGCTGGAACACCATTTTGTCCTGTTCTTGGGACTCTGATGTCCACAATCCTTGGGCCTTTGGATCCTCACAGACTTGAACCACTGGCACTTCTGGTTCTTTGGAGTTAGGGTTTAGACTTCAACTATACCACTTGCTTTCCTCAGCCCCAGACTTACAGATCTCAGCAGCCTCTATAATTCAGCAAACAGATCCATCAAAATAAATAATTTCCTAGATGATTCTATCTGTAAGGCCTGTTGGTACTGTTTCTGTTTAGCCCCCTTATCTGCCACTACCACAAGTGCTCTAATTTTTAGATGAGGTGTCAAACCCTCTCCACTACCCAGTCCATGTATTAGGAGAGGCTGGCCTCACTCTTAGCTTTGAGGGTAGGCTCTGCTTGGTTAAGCCCTAGCACAGTCATTGGTCTTTGAAATCTAAGTGCTTTCTTTAAGTGAATGAGTCAAATTCTCTACTGCTAGGTGAAGACTCTGAAGGCAGTGAGAGAAACCAAGTTCCAGATGATTTCATTCAGCTGTTGGACCAATAAAGTCCACCTACCTTCAGGTTTTTTTCCCTGAGAGGATTTACACTTAATTTCTCAAAAGCCAATTCTGAGTTTTCCTGGTACTTGGAAAACTCCCAGGGGGTTGATCTGCTTTGAAAGTGGCTTAACTGCCCTCCAAATTTTCCACACCACTTTGTTATACCATCTAAAATGCGATTTTTGGTTAGAAAGCATTTGTTTTTAAAAATGTATACACTTATGAGAGGCTTCAAGAGTCAGTAGACATTTGACAGATAACTTTCCCAAATAAAGTATGTTTCTCCTAATACCTAGTAAGGTCAGCTATCTATCGAGGGAGTTAGCATGTATGTTAGAGAGGAAGGTAAGAATAGAGACTTTAGAGAACGAGGGCAACTCCATATCAAGTGCTATTGAGAGGCACAGGGCAAGACAACACCAAAAGTTTGGAGAAAGCCATTGATGAAAAATGAATAAAGAAAAGTAAGAAAGTAAAGCAATCAATTTGTTCCTAATACTTGGCTCATAGATACTTGCTGCCAGGCTAATTTCTCCTTCTTAAATATATCAACAATTCCTACTGCTAAAGAATGAAGACCCACCCATACCTGGCTTTTCCACAACATATTCCATTCTTGAACCTTGCTGAAGTCACACTTGAGAGTTCACGGTTCCCTGTTAAGTACTCTAGCCCCTGAAGTATTAGTTATATGACACTCCTTTTGGAAATATTCCAAAGTCCAGCTGAAATTAATCGTTCTTCTTTATAAAAAAGTTTTATATTTATGACCTTTTATAGTTATGTAAAATGTTATCATTGTATAATTTCTGCTTGCTTGCTAGAATCTAAACAATTTTCTTAAAATTAGAATAGTTAATATAGTATCCCTATAATTCTCTTTACATAATGTGTGTTGAATGTCAAATAAATTATAAATAAAAAGCTAAATTCTATGAAAGAAATTGACTTCTTAAAAGGCCTTCAAACTTTTGGAATACAATTTGTAAGTTGTAGAATTTTATAACTTTTTAAGAGATTCAGATGARCATCTATAGAATGAAGTTCTAAAGATGTCATAATTTTAAGTTTTACCATGTATAATCTAAAATAAGTATAAGTGATAAAAGGGTTAATTTAATTTTGAAGTTATATTAGAACTAGCAGTGGTGTTTCATGTAGTGACATTAACTTATTAAAAATCATATACTACTCAAAAGTGGGGTCCCTATTTCCTTTAAACACGCTAATACAATTATATTTTCTTTAATATTAATTTTGCTTCCTCCTTGGAAGGAAACCTGCTTATCTACAAATTACATTTCAAATCTAATTATTGTGTAAATTTGCAGATGGCTTAATAAAGAAAAACAATCATGTGCTAAATTTAATCTCTTTGGATCTTTTGAAATTTTAGTTATTTGTCACATGTCTATATTTAACACAACTTGAAAGAAAAATATATATTAAAAATTCTATCAATAATTAGAATAGCACAAGGATGGAATAAAACAGATGACTGATTTTCTAGTGGGAAAAGAAAATGTAAGATACAGTACAATTAAAACAACCCAGATTGAGTCTTCAAAAATAAAGAAGATTGACAGGAAGAAGGAAATTAGGATGAAATGCTTCCAGATATTTTCTGAGTCATATATGTGTGTGTGTGTGTGTGTGTGTGTGTGTGTATACACACACACACACCTCTCTCTCTATATTTTAAATAACTTAATTTTTTTTTGTAGTTGTAGGTGGAAGGATGCCTTTATTTATTTTTATGTGGTGCTAAGGATTGAACTCAGTGCCTCACCCACACATGCTAGGCAAGTACTCTGCCACTAAGCTACAGCCCCAGTAGGTGAGTCATATATTTATAATAAACACTGACCACTCTCCACTCTACCTGACCATAACTCACTCTTTACCAGGAAGCTATCTTTGAAATTTCTCTGCTAAGGTGGTRATACTTCCTTTGGATTTCCATAACAATTGTTTTATTGTTATATTTAAGCATTATATAATATTTGTGATTATTACTATTATTGTAAAAGCCTCCTTATTGGTCTCTTTGCTTTTGCCCCTCTGTCCAGTGTTTCAACACTGTAACCAAAATGACCTGTGTCAGATTATATGACTATTCTGGTCAAAATACTCCACTGGCTTCTGAAATCACAAGCAGTTAAGTATAGTAGTATACCTTTTAATGTCTTATATGACATTCTTATCTTCATATCACATTGGCTCTCTTAATGTTTTTTTCCAAAAGKAATGTCATTTAACTGACTCTAGAGATTGAATATGCTTAGGGGGAACCCCGAATTCTTAAATGTGGCTTCAGTAAGGCTCAAGAAAGAAATGTGTAGCTGAGGAGGCCAAGTATTGGTAAGTCTTTATTCTCTAGCAGCAGCAAAATTGTTAGCTGCTACCATACTTCATCAACAAGTCTCTCTAGGGTTCCCTCTGTCTCACTCATATTGGCCTTCTTATTGTTCAAATTTAACATACATGTTCCTATCTCAAGAGGAAAAAAATGTTCTAAGAAGCAGTCTTATCACTTCCCTTGGGTCCTTTTCCCTCTGGTACAATTTTTTTTTTTTAACCCCATTTAATTTTCTCTCCAATGCACTTAGAACTGTCATACTATATACAGATGTGTTTATTTGCCTTTAATATGTCTTTTTCTAAAAGAATGTAAACTCCATGGACTAAATACTTTTTGTTCAGTGTTATATATTGACTGCCTAGCATAGAGTTTAATGAATAATTTTCAAGTGAAAATAATCTGTGTTAGTGTAGTTCATGCCCCAAATATTTTGAATCCTAAGATCTCTGGAACATATTCTATATTGAACAGTGTTTCTAAATCAAAATGGTAAAGATGGTCAAATCTTGTACTGAAAATACTGAAAAATGAAAGAAAGATAAARTAGATAACCATAAAATTACATCTTGGCACATACCTGTTTGAAATCTGAATCTTTTCCCATCATAACTTGAAGACTGTAAATAACTGGATCACCTTTCATTGGCTGTAAACATTCCCATGTAATTTCACAAATGTGATCATTTAATTTCTCTATTTTGGGGGCTAGAGGGAAGAAATATAAGATATGCTGCTCGGTTAGGTTTTTAACTTCATACACCATACTTGCTTTTATAAACATAAACAAACCTATAAAACTTAATAAACTTAAATATCAGTGAATTTTTGAYATCTGCATACAAAGAAGTTAAGAAAATCAATAATCTTTTTTTCTTTTTTGTGGTACTGCAGTTTTAAACCAGGGGTGCTTTACCACTGAACTATACCCCCAGCCCTTTTTATACACTTATTTTGAGGCAGGATCTTGCTAGATTGCTGAGGTTGGCCTTGAACTTGCAATCCTTGTGCCTTAGCCTCCTGAGTTGCTGGGATTATAGGCATGCACCACCAAACTTGGCTATAAATCAACAATATTCTTAAGGCCAAGAGACACTAAACTGGATGAGGGAACAGAATAATGTTCTCAGTGAAACTCATCAACATTATTAGAAAGACTATTCAAGAAGAGTCCCACAAATTCTAGATCTGCTTAACAAATGAGCCATTCAAGCTCTTGATCCAGGATATTATCCTAGAAGTCTTTGTGATGAGTCCTTGGAGTTCAAAGATCTTAAGCATTTTGGTTAAATGCACAAAGTGCAATCCTTACAAGGCTCATTTTAAAAAAGTACTTCATGTTTGTGTATAAATATGATTGAAAAATCCAAGTTAAGCAAGTAAAAATTTGTTTTACTTAGCAGAAGACTTGGCTCTCCCCCTGAATGAATCTGAATGAATAAAAAAAAATGATTTAAAACATAAATAATCAGATTTTATGCTTTTTTCCTTTAACAATAGCAGAAACAGCAAATGATCCGATTAGAAAAGTAGCCTATCTATTCAATTTTGCATTTTCAATTGTTAAAATGACCACTGACAAACCCAATACTTGTCTGAGTATTAACATGCCAGATAAAATAGCTTTTATTACTTAAGGAAACTCCCAGTAGGTAGGCTTGTCTGTGTTGGACATATATTCGGTACTAAGTTTTAATGAAAGTAAACAAAACACTTTATTAAAATGTAAAATTGATTTATTATTAAAGAAAAGAACTGCAAGATGTATAACTTACCTTTCAAGGCAGCTGGGACAGATTTTGGAGTAGTGAAAATATATTCTTGGGAGAAGGGGCCTTCCCCAGCTTCATTACAAGCTTGAATACAGAATTTATACGATGTTGACTCATTAAGTCTTTGTACTTTATATGTATGACATGGTCCTCTGTACAAGGATACAAACCTAAAATAGAAATAACTCTGTATTAAATAAACCTTAGACTATTTATAAAAAATGTTTTCAAAATTACTAAATTACAAAAATTTCAAAATTACAAAATTACATCTATCTTTTTGTTTTTCATCATTAGATGATGAAAATCACAGATATGATAAGATTCCCAATTCGACTTGGTATCCTGAAAATCTTACTGAATTTCGTGTCCAACTATTCTTTTTTTTGGTACTGGGGATTGAATCCAGGGGTGCTTAACCGCTGAGCCACATTCCCAGCCATTCCCCCCTGCCCCCACCCCCTGCTTCTGTTCCCCCGCTTTTTTTTAAAGGATTAAAACAAAAATTTTTTGGGGGTAGTTGTAGATGGACAGAATGCCTTTATTTTATTTGTTCATTTTTATGTGGTGCTAAGGATTGAACCCAGTGCCCCACACATGCAAGCACTCCTGTCACTGAGCCTGAACCCTTTTTATTTTGTATTTTGAGACGGGGTCTTGCTAAGTTACTTGGGGCCTCCCTAAATTGATGAGGGTGGCCTGAATTTGTGATCCTCCTGCCTTAGCCTCCTGAGTGGCTGGGATTACCAGCGTGTACCACCGTGCCCAGCATTGTCCAACCATTCTAAGTTGGGTTTTCCTTAGGCTTCTGGTAACCATGGCTTTGCTTCTGATTGTAGTCTTCTAATATATATTTACACAGTAGGTTTCTATTTTTGTATTTCTTGCCTTTAACTGGGAAACAGAACTCTTAATTTCTAGGCAAAATTTTAGCCGATGCACGTTTTCTGGAAATTTACAACAGTATTGAGAAAATATGAAATTTCAAATAAATTATACACTTGAACTGTGTGATGGAAGTTTAATATTATATATTCTAATATTTTATCTATAAGCTAGCTAAGTGTTTCCCAGTATTTTTTTTTTTTTAAAGAGAGAGTGAGAGAGGAGAGAGAGAGAGAGAATTTTTTTTTTTAATATTTATTTTTTTTTAGTTCTCGGCGGACACAACATCTTTGTTGGTATGTGGTGCTGAGGATCGAACCCGGGCCGCACACATGCCAGGCGAGCGCGCTACCACTTGAGCCACATCCCCAGCCCCTYCCAGTATTTTTGATTGGCTATTTATAAATTTTTTTGGGAACAAATAATGAATGCTCTTATAGTGCTAACGGTATGAACTGTAGTCAAGTTAAAAAAAATGAAGAAATATTTAATGACCTGAAGTAACAGTATTTCCAAGAAACAATTATTAGATAAGCYTTGCTTTTTTTTTTTTTTAAAGAGCATTGGCATTTTTTCTTCTTGTTTAATGTGGAACTTAGAATGTCTAGTTTCATGGACATTCATCTTGCCAAATCAACAAATTAGCTACATTGCCATACTGCCAGCTTTTAAACCACAGTTTACATATGCTTCATTTTTCTATCTTTGTCTCAATTCTTTTTCTAAATTTTAGCACTTTGCTTTTAGAGCAAAATGTAAGTGTTTGCTTTTTTTCTTTTGTAGTACTTAAACCAGTAAGATTAAAGTTAATAACCTTTTAAAAAAATKAAAAATTTCAGATAAAATGCTTCAGATAAACTGGGCATGGTGGCGCATGCCTGTAATCCCAGTGGCTTGAGAGGTTGAAGCAGGAGGACTGCAAGTTCAAAGCCAGCCTCAGCAATTCAGTGAGGCTCTAAGCAACTTAGTGAGACCCTGTCTCTAAATAAAATATATTTAAAAAGAGCTGGGGATGTAGCTCAATGATAGAGAACCCCTGGGTTCAATCCCCAGTACCAAAAAGAGACAAAATTCTAATAAATTAGAGTAAAAAGTAAAAAACCAAAATTTAAAAGTCTTAAAATATTATAATAGCTGTGGAGGTATATGACATTATTTGTATGGGATTAAACATGAACAAACAGCCCTAAATAGGCATTTGAAKAGTTATATTTGAATAGTTATATTTGAATAGTTTCAATAACACTGTAACTGAAATGCAGGGTTTAGCTGGGCAGTATATATGGAATGGTATACAGAAATAGTGAAATTAAGCCCTGCAGAAAATAAACACTTTAGAATTATTTTGTAGCCAAGATTACATTTTATGAAGAGAGTAAATGGGGGGGGCTGGGGATGTGGCTCAAGTGGTAGCGCGCTCGCCTGGCATGCGTGCGGCCCGGGTTTGATCCTCAGCACCACATACCAACAAAGATGTTGTGTCCGCCGAGAACTAAAAAATAAATATTAAAAAAATTCTCTCTCTCTCTCTGTCTCTCTCTCTCTCTCTCCTCGTTCACTCTCTCTTTAAAAAAAAAAAAAAGAGAGTAAATGGGATGGAGAAGAGATCCAAAGAATAGCCCACTTAATTTTTTTCCTTTAGCATTCCACTCAAATTGTAAACAGTGTCTTCTGATATTCTGAACCCAGTACACTTAAAGATCATTTCTCATGATAACTGCAACTATTTTTGCAAACTTATTTTACTTCTATAATTTATAAAATTTATATATACTTAAAACCTATTAAAACTATATAAAAAAGCAAGTAAACAACCTACCTTCCATTCTTATCCTCCATCTGAAGGTGATACTGGATAGAATCTGTTGACAGTGTCTTTGGGGTACCATCTCCCCATTTCAGCTTAAGGTTCTGGTGGTTAAAGGCAACACATTCCAGACGAGGTGGGTCAGGAGGGAGGGGCTTAGTTTTTAATTTTATCATATGGCTGAAAGGACCAGCTCCGAGGCTATTCAAGGCTTGAATTCGTATTCTAAGTTCCACATTAAAAGAAAAAAAATTTTTAGTTTATGATCATTTTAGTTAAAGTGTTTCTCTGGTCTAGGAAAAATTAACATCTTTTAGAGTATACCTGTATGTTGTATCTGGTTGCAAATTGTCTATTATATAGCTTGTAATCTTTCCCACTGTTAAGGGCTGTTTATCTCCAAAGTCTATGCTGTAGGCAAGGATTTCTGAACCATGGTCACAAGGCTTTTCCCAGCTTATTGCAAGGGATGTAGAAGGTGAATAATTGAGATTTTCTATGTCATCATCACTTATTTCTTGAAGACAAGTCACAATGGCAGGAACTGATGGTGGAGTCACACAGGCTACTACTTCACTGAAAGGGCCTGCACCCACAACACTCAGAGCCTACAAAGTAACAAAGCCTCCAAGTTAACAGACACAACCATGAAAATGCTCACAACAGAGAGAACTCTGGACAGAGTACATGACAAGGAACCAATCACCTTTACCTGGACTCTGCAATAATAGGTAGTTGCTGGTGAAAGTCCCTTTAATTCATAACTGAGGCCAGGCCCACAATAACACATCTGCATACTTCCTTCAACTCCTCCCCACTCCAATCGATACTCGGTGACATCAGTTCCATTACTCAAAGGAATCTTTAAGAAAAAGTATAAAGTTCTTAGTCTTTGTATTGACTAAATAGCTTTTGGGCAAATATGTTCTTTTACTATGTATATTAAAAACTCGATTATTTTTCTTTTTTTTTTCTTTTTTTTTAAAGAGAGAGTGAGAGAGAGAGAGGGGGACAGAGAGAGAGAGAGAGAGAATTTTAACATTTATTAATTTTTTCTTAGTTCTCGGCGGACACTACATCTTTGTATGTGGTGCTGAGGATCGAACCCGGGCCGCACACATGCCAGGCAAGCGCGCTACCGCTTGAGCCACATCCCCAGCCCTCGATTATTTTTCAACTTTTTTATACTTTTAAAAAATTTCGTTCTAATTAATTATATATGACAATAGCATTTTTAAAAAATATTTTTAGTTGTAGATGGACACAATCCCTTTATTTAATTTATTTTTATATGTGGTGCTAAGGATCAAACCCAGTGCCTCACACATTATAGGCAAGCACTGTACCACTGAGCTACAATCCCAGCCCAGTAGAATGCATTTTGACTCATCATACATAAATGGAGTATAACTTCTCATTTTTCTGGTTGTACATGATGTACAGTTACACTGGTCATGTAATCGAACATGTACATAGTAGAAAGAATCGAACATTATTATCCTATCATTTATTTTTTGATTTCTTTAAAACGTTTAAATACAATCAAACTTTTTAAAATGTTTTATTTTTTTATAGTTGTAGTTGGACACAATACCTTTACTTTATTTATTTATTTACATATGGTGCTGAGGATAGAACCCAGGGCCTTGCATGTGCGAGGTGAGTGCTTTACCGAAGCCATAACCCCAGCCCCTCAAAAATATAACTTTTGAATTAGAGATAGAAATATGACCAGGAGTCACTTCAGAAAGAATATTTTAAGGCAAATATATTTTGAATAATTCTATTAGGTAATATAAAATGTTAAACCATACAAGAACATTTTCCTTGTTAAATTTCAAAGGAAACTGAAAATATGATTATCATTACTGATTAATCCTGTGTACAATAAATACACCAGGGATAACAAATACAAGAGAAATAGTATTATAGTAATTCCTTATGAATGTTTGTTCTGAACATTAAGTTCACTATTGGCTGAACTAGGAATTCAGCACTGAGACAAAGCCTTTGATAAAAACATAAAGCACATCATGAACAAGAACTTGAAATGAAGATATACCTTACTCAAATGTTTCAAAGAGGAAACAAAATTCACTTTGTACCATATAAATTTAACCAGGACTTACTCAAAGTGTAATAAYTTAGGAGGCAAAAAAGAAAAGTATCTATTCTTTTATATAAACTATTAATTCCAGTCACTTAAGAAAGTAAACATACGCCAATAGAAATTACAATACCTCCCAATTCACTTGTGCACAAGTTGCAGATCTGCATGTCACTTGTGGGGGTTTGCATTGATCCGGTGGCCCAGGGGCTGTAGTAATATCACATTTTTCTGAAAATGGTCCAAACTAGAAAAACAACATAACCAGCATTTTCATTTTTCGCCCTTTATTAATAAAGTCTACTGATTGCACAGAATTCCATATTTAAGGATTCATTAATAATTAAATTCATCTTCCCTGTCTTTCAAGATTACTTTGGTCAGAAAATCTATAAGTAATCACAGAAAAGAAAAAGGTTTAATAATTATGAAGTAAATGAGTGGGGAATTTTACAGTTTCATTTACCATGCTTTCTTCTCCTGCACTTTATTCCTTTCATAATTTTTTTTGTTTATTTTATTATTTTTTATGTGGTGCTGAGGCAAGTGCCTTACCACTGAGCCACAACCCCAATCCCTCATGAATTGTTTTGTGTAAGAAGCACAAGGCATTAGGGAATTGAGTAGGTGAAGTAAGAAGGAATTATGTGCCGGGTGCGGGGGCGCATGCATGTTATCCCAATGGCTTGGGAGGCTGAGGCAGGAGGATCATAAGTTCAAGGCCAGTCTCAGCAAAAGCGAGGCACTACACAACTCAGTGAGACTCTGTCTCTAAAAAGGGCTGGGGATGCAGCTCAGTGGTTAAATGCCCCTGAGTTTCAGTCCCCGGTAGTGCTCCACAAAAACAAAAAAACAAAAAAAGGAAGGAATTATGTAAAGACTGAAGAAATGGATACCAATTAAAGGCATGGGGGATGGCAAGCATAAATTACACCTTAAAATGTGGAATAGCTCTAGATGGGTCAAAAATGTATATTCTTTGGAAATACAGAAAACAAATATTTAAGGTCATTTTGACAAGCTATCTCAGACCTGAAAACATAAATTAAGATGTTAGTATTAAACATGCTATCACATGATGCCCTTCCTGTAGAAAAGAATGACATTAAGGATTGCCCACAAAAGCCTATAAATTTGCCATAAAAGAAATTTAACAGATATAAATGCAGAACTTAGCTGGAGATAGGATATGAAATGTAGAACAGTCACTAAAATCTGAAATCGGGAAAAAGAGACTTGTCATTAAGTTTTAATTATTGAACAGTTCACAAAAACCAAGTGTCACTCAAATGAAGTAAGAAATTATTGCTTTGTCCTTAGGGAAACTACCTTAATGAAGAGAGATAAGAGGTGCCATACTTTTTTTTTTTTTTAAACAAGAACACAAATCCATCTTTATTTTCCATTAGTTTAAATCCTTGAGGGGTACAGCATCACACGGATTCTGTGTCCAATGGCCTTAGCAGGAAGGTTGCTTCAGAATTTGGCCCGAACCATGCCACTATTTCCATGGGCACGAGTTACCTTTCCCCAGATTACTCTGGTTTTGTTTGGTTTGCCACCAGGAGTCACTGTGTTGTTTTTAGCTTTGTACACATAAGCACATCTTTTGCCCAAATAGAACTCGGTTTCATCTCTGGCATAAATACCTTCAATTTTTAGAAGAGCTGTGTTCTCCCTTTGGTTCTGGAGACCCCACTTATAGCCAGCAAAAATGGCTTTGCACCACAACCTTCCAGACATATCTGYCTTTTAGAAGTCCTGTTCCCAGCAGGCTTCCACAGGCTCCAAGATGGCGGAAAAAGGAAGGCCCCAAGGACATTTTACCACAGAGCTACATCCCCAGTCCTTTTTATTTACTTTGAGACAGGGTCTCACCAAGTTTCTTAGGGCCTTGCTACTTTGCTGAGGCTGGCCTTGAACTTGTGATCCTCCTATCTCAGCCTCCCACGTTGCTGGGGTTACAGGTGTGCGCCACTGTGCCTGGTAAGAAGTGTTATACTTGAGTGGAAAGAACTTTGGTTCTGGAGTCTGACAAGCCTGAGTTTGTGGCTCACTCTATCTTTATTAGTGTATGTGATTATGATTATGGGCAAGGCACTTCTGAGCTGCCACTTTTTTCCATTTTATAAAACTTTATAGACACATAGGTAATATTTTAAAAATAACTCATACAAAACTAGAAATGCTTAAAATATAAGACCCCATCCTTAGGCAAAATATAAATTATAACTGTTTTCAATGGGAAGTAAATGCTGTGTACAATCAACCTACAGATTTAAGTAAATCTTATTGGCATTGCCTAAAAGATAAACTTTAGCACCACCAAAGTCCCAAGTATCACAAATTATTTGTTAAAAACAAAACAAAARACCCCTTTATTTACTATTATTATTATTTATGTGGTGCTGAGGATTGAACCCTGTGCCTCATATGTGCTAGTCAAGTACTCTACCACTGAGCCCTAGCCCCAGCTCCTCAAGTGTCACAAATTCTTTAAAAAAATTTTTTTTATTATACATGGATACAATATCTTTGTTTATTTTTATGTGGTGCTTAAGATCAAATCCAGTGCCTCACCTGTGCGAGGCAAGTACTCTGCCACTGAGCCACAACTTCAGTCCCCAAGTGTCACAAATTCTAAGTGAAGTTTGAAAATAATGGTTCCCTAACATGTTATAGGACATACTAACTTTTTCTTGTTATCAATATAATATTATTAATAATCGTAAAATCTGGAGTCACGTGTTAAAATTGCCAAATAATGAGTGGGTTTATACATGATAAAATGAAACACCATTATAATTAGGATTCAGTAAGCATGCTCTTCTCACCCCCATTTTGTTAGCTGCACGCAGTCTGAAGCTGTACAGCTTTCCAGGAAGAAGGCCGCTCACTGTACATTCCAATTCAGAGCCTTGGTATACTTCTCTGGGTTCATCTTTTTCTGGAGGAGACATTTCTACACCATAACAGGAAATAGGTGATCCACCATCAGCTAGAGGGGGTCCTAAGTGTGGAAAAATTTATGTGATTTAACAAGATGAACATGTTCAGTTCTAATAATTAAAATTTATTACTAAAATGAAAATTACCCCATCGTAACTGTATTTCTTTTGCTTTGGGTCTACCCTGTAATCTGGGAGGGAGGCATGGGCCAGGAGGTACAGCTGGAGTTTGCACAAGTAAAGATTCAGAGACCTGCCAAAACAAAAGCAAAAACAAAACAAACAAAAAAATGCCACAAACCAAATAACCAGAGTGCTTTTGGTAAAGGAAAAGAACAAAACATAAAGACTATACCAATTACTTGAAATTACACTTGATTATCAACTAAAAAGGACTAAAGTTCTGCATAAAATAAAAATCTAATAACTAAAATCACTAAAACAAAATTTTTATATACAAACAAAGACATGTATCATGTGACTATGATACACAAAGAAGTTAGTGGAAAWAGAACCCCCAATAAACCTTTCCTTTCTTTGTATAGTTAAAAAAACAGTAGGGTGTGATGGCACATGCTATAATTCCAGTTACTCTGGAGACTGAAGTAAGAGAGTCTCAAGTTTGAGGCCAGTGTTAGCAGGACCCTGACTCAAAGTAAAAAATAAAAAGGGTTGGAGATGCAACATAGTGGCACAGCACTTGCCTACTATGTTTGAGGCGCTGGGTTTAATCCCTAGTACTACAAACAAAAACAAAAACAAACATACAAAACCAACAAGATAAATCTACCCCCTAAAACAAAACAAAATTCAACATGATATAATTAATAATATAATAGTTTTTATTCTGTCGGGAGGTTGAGACAGGGGGATCTCGAGTTCAAAGCCAGCATCAGCAAAAGTGAGGCGCTAAGCAACTCAGTAATACCCTGTCTCTAAATAAAATACAAAAAATGTCCAGGGGACAAGTGTTCCTGAGTTCAATCCATAGTACCAAAAAAAAAAAAAAAAAAAAAAAAAAGTTTTTATTCTGTCCAAAGGGATTCACAAAATATCTTCTGAGAAGGGATGTTTTAACATTCTTTAAATGCTGCCTGTCTTATTTTCAAAAGGTTTAGACTCTTTTAGCTACTATATTTTAAACCTAATATTAGCTTATTTATTAAAAGAAAGCGAAATTTTCCTTCTTTATTTCCTCCTAAAAATATTTACAAAATCAGGTAAAATGTATCTAGCTATCTGGCACCTTTCTAGGTATTTGCTATTGCATTTAGTTTCTACGCCATATGTATTTTTAAAAGTCTTAGTTTTAAAAAGACTGATATAAATTCAATGCCACATTCCTTACTTCTACCATATTAAAGTTTACACTTAACATTATTTTTAAATACAAAATATTTGATCATCACTGTATTAAAAAAGTTATCCTTACAATAAGAATGCTAGAATACTATATTAGCATAACAGGATTTACAGTGTATATGTTTTTGTAAACCTAAGGAGATTTTCTTTTTCTTTCTTTTTTACCTTTGCAGAGCTGGGGATTGAACCCAGGGTCACAAGCATGCTACGCAAGTGCTCTGCCATTGAGCTACACCTCCAGCACCAGGGAGATTTTCTTACTGGATAAAATGAAGCAACTGGATCACAAGCCTATTGGGTAGGACTTACACTCAATTTCACAATACTCACATTTATTTCTTTAGTCTTTTTTTTTTTTATGTGGGGGGTGGGGTGGGTGGAGTGGTACTGGGAATTGAATCCAGGGGTGCTCTACCACTGAGCTACATTTCCAGATCTTTTCATTTTTTWATTTTGAGACAAGATCTTGCTAAATTTCATAGGCTGGCCTTGAAATTAAGATCCTTTTGCCTCAATCTCTGGAGTTCCTGGAATCATAGGCATATGCCACTGCACCCCTGCTTACAATATTCACATTTTCAACAAATTGATTATAATTCATTTTTTTTAGAAGAGCACTTCATGTTAAATTCCATTTGAAAAATAATAATTATAAATGCTCCAAGAAATCATTCTTGGGTAAATTCATTTAAAAACTCATATTCTTATATAAAAAATTTACCCCTCCAGAATATTATAAATTTCTAATATATAATCAATGTACATTTAAATCCACTTTGGTTATTTAGTCTCTAATAATAGAATGGTCAACTTTTCTGAAGTAAGAAAACGTTTTAACATTTAATATAACAACATTAAATGATACTTTATAGTTTCCCCTGACACACATAGTTTATAGGGCTGTAAATCAGTGTACAATTATTTTATTTCTATTTCTGCTTGGTATGGTTACTGAGCATCATCCTAAAATTTAGCTTTACAAAATTTCCTTTAGTGTTTGCATAGCTAAACACCACAGAGACAGTACATAAGCATTACCGCACTCTGTCCTCCATCACTAATGCAGTAAACTCGTAAACGATAGTAACAGCCTGGATTCAGTCGATCACAAAGATGTTCTCTTGTAGCACCACTGTATATCATATCCCATTTGTTTCCTGTAAGAAGAAAAATTGTGTTCACACACCTACAAGGTAATGTTTAACGTTTTGTTATCATGGACATGGCAGGTATCCTAGTTTCACTAAATAAGTGTTTATGTAATTTGACAGAAACAACTTAAGCTCGTTACAAATTTCCTGGAAATGATCTAATTGTCTTTATGTGTGCAGCTTCCTAGACAAATATGTGTAGCTTTGTTGAAGTGAAATATCTCTGTAACTCTGTACAGACTTGACTTAGATTGATAATTTGCTTTTAATTGAACATTTTAAATGTGTTTACTGGTCCAGTAATAACATTATAACAAAGCATAGAAAGAATCAATATCATAGGAAGTTTAGTCTTAATTAAAATATATTCTCATTTTGGGCAGGAAATAGATCATTTCATAGAAGTAAAAGCTGCTAAGTGTGTGATTCAAGAAAACTAAAAAAATGTGAGTTAAATTTTAGAAAAAAATTTTCTCTGGTACATATGGTTGTAAATTTAACTGAACTACCTTTAGAAGATGTCATAGTATCTAATGACTTAGTCTGGGTATTCTGGGACTGAGTAATGTAAACAAATGAAGAAAAAATGTAAGAAAATGTAAACATAATAATATAGGTAATACAGCAGTTTCACATTTGATTTACTGTATTTCTGGAGATCACAATTTGAAGTGGGTTAATTAACATASAAAATTCTAACTGCTATCAACAAGCAACAAACAATCAAGGACAGTCCACAGTGATGCAAGTATCTTTTCAAGGTACAAATGAAAAGCAGAGAAAAGATATAAAATGTAAAATCACTAGAATAAGTTAGAATAAATCTATCAATTTTTAACAGCTATTCTTACCGTTAGAACCTTCTGCCATCTCCACTACATACTTATTGATGGGTGCCCCTCCATTGTCTTTTGGTGGATCTATCCAAAGAAATAAGTGGTGTCAGGCAAAGTTCATACAATGTAAAAATGATAGTAAATCCTAATAAACAGAATACCAAACTCAGATTGTTTAAAAAGAAAAAAAATCACAGCAATTATTAATACCTATACCTTATTACTGCATGCTATTGTCATCTGCTTTTCAGTTAATTTACCATATTTTCCCCATGACTATAAATATGGTTCCCTCTAAGAATTTTAATATACTATTTATTTATTTTGTGGTACTAGAGATTAAGTGAAGGGGCACTTTGCCCCCAAGAGACATCCTCAGCCCATTTTATTTTTTGAGACAGGRTCTTGCTAAGTTGCCCAGGCTGGACTTGAATTTGTGATCCTCCTGTTTTAGCTTCCCAAGTTGCTGGTATGATAAGTATGCACCACCACACCCAGCTCTAAAAACAATTTTTAATGACAACACAATATTCCATTCACCTTTCATTCTATGGTGGTTTGAAATATGAGGATATTTTATAATTACCACTGAAGTCTTTTTTATTGGTCTGAATTCTTTGGCCAGAGATGAAGTTTCTATATCTTTGCTTTCCCCTTTAACTAGTATATAAGAGGACGTTCAAGAAATGTCTGTTTTAAACGAATAAGTGCTTTTTATTTCTCCTGAGAGGCATTATGACCCAAGTTAACTTTGTCTGCAAATTCAGTCATTTTTCATCTCACAGTGTTACCTTGCCCATAATCTGATCCCTAGTTCCTCTTGTATCAAAATTGAGTGTACAAAAAAGCTTTCCACAAAAAAGATGCTCAATGAATGACTCACATTTCTTACTGCTAATCTGGGCTAACAAGTTTACTGGAGTATCTTTTTTTCCCCTATAATCACAAAGCCTTACTGAAAAACTGATACCAAAACAGGAGATCACTGTTACATACTATAAAAAACCAAACATATTACATTGACTTGGTAGATTATATCAGAATTACTGAACTTATGATTAGACTGTGAGAAAATAAATTCAGGAAGTTGTGTAGATTTATAAGTGTTGTTTTCTTCTATTATTATTCTTGTTATTGTTAGTATTTGCAGTGCTGGGGATCAAAAACAGGACCATGTGAATGACAGGTAAGTGCTCTATCACTAAGCTACTTTGCCAGTTCTTTTTTTTTTAGAATGTAAAAGTGTTTTTATTAAAATATTTTTTACTGGTACATTATAATCATACATATTAGAAGGCTTTGTTGTTTCATACTTATACATGCACACAGCATAATTTGGTCAATTTCATTTCCCAAGTGTTGCTTTCTTCTAAATGAACAACATTCTGAGTCTGGCTTTTCCTCCTATAGGTTGACACAACACTGTTAAACCATACAAAGAACAGAGTCTGAGCATGGCTGAAAACCATGGTCATCTTGTGGCATTATACATCTATAGCCTAAAAATTTGTGTTTCTTTTTATTTTATCTCTAGCCCAAGTCATGGTGRTTCCTTTACAAGCCCAACCCATCTAAATCATCTTCAAATATCTTAAAAACTATCTTCATATTAAAATTATTTTATTCAAATATAAAAGTAATAATGTGGGGCTGGGGTTGTGGCTCAGTGGTAGAGCACTTGCCTAGCACGTGTGAGGTGCTAGGTTGAATCCTCAGCACCACATAAAAATAAATAAATAAGTAAATAAGTAAATAAACAAATAAATAAAATGAAGATATTGTGTCCAACTACAACTAAAAAAAATAAAAAATAAAGTAATAATATACAAATATGCATAATATCTTACCCCAAGTTATTTTAAAACTGTGTGAATGTATCTTTCCTTTAACTGAAGGTTTTACAGGTACTCCTGGTTTATCAGGGCAGGTAGTAAATTCTACTACTTCACTCGGATTACTTTTACCTTCTGAGTTATAAGCAATAACCTGTGATGAGAACACAAAGACTTAAAATGATATGTTTGGTATCTAATAAAAACTGGCTTAATGAAGAACGTAATGAAGAAAAATAGTTTCTATTAAATGATAAAACACATTTTCAGAATGTGATAGCTTGTTCCTTTGAGAATTGCTTGTTTTCAATAGGGACTTGGCATACATACAGAATATACAAAGTAYTTGCCTTTTAGAGTCAGTATTAGGAATACAAGTGCAAGTTTAACATTTTGACACTTCAGTCAGAATGGCAGCTATTAAGAATACAAACAACAATAAGTGTTGGTGAGGATGTGGGGAAAAAGGCACAGTCATACATTGCTGGTGGGACTGCAAATTGGTGCAACCAATCTGGAAAGAAGGATGGACATTCCATGTAAAACTTAGAATGGAACCACCATTTGACCCAGCAATCCCACTCCTTGGTTTATATACAAAGGACTTAAAAACAGCATACTGTAGTGATGCAGCCACATGAATATATATAGCAGCATAATTMACAATAGTTAAATTGTTGAGTCAACCTAGATGCCCTTCAATAGATGAATGGATTTAAAAACTGTGGTATATACACAATGGAATATTACTCTTTTGAGAATAAAATCATGGCATTTGCAGGTAAATGAATGGGGTTGGAGAATATCACGCTAAGTGAAGTTAAGCCAATCCCCAAAACTAAAGGTCAAATGTTTTCTCTGATATGTGGATCCATAATGGGGTGGGGGTGGGGAGCATGGGAGGAATTGTTGAGGGACACAGCCGAGTCAGGATGATGCATGACATCATTACCCCTAAGTCATGTATGAAGACACGAATGATGTGAATATACTTTGTGTACAACCAGAGATATGAAAAATTGTGCTCTATATGTATACTATAAATGGAAACACATTCTGCTGTCATGTATAATAAATTAGAATAAATAAATAAATAAATAAATAAATACAAACAAACCATTTTGACACTAAACAACAGCCTTCAAAGGAACAAGCTATAACCGAATGATTCTTGAAGTGCTTTAGGCATGCTGTACTTATTTTCTGGTGCTTTAAAAAGATGTCCACAAATTCTTTCAATCTTCTTTCTTCAAAAGATGAAAGCTCATTCCCCTTCCCTTGGGTGTGAGGAGTCCTTACTGACTCCCTCTAACAAACAGAATGTAGGAGAAATGACAGTGTGCCTTTACATGACTATAGTCACATCTTAACTACAACCTTGTGGACATTAGACACTCAATTAAACTGGTCCTGAATTCCTGGCCTGTAGAAATCAAGATAATAAACACAATATTCATTTTTATCAAGTTATGGGGTAATTTGTTATATAGCAATAGTGAAATGTAATTAACATCTAGATTTCAATTTATATGGTTTTAGAAATTCATTTATACTTATATTTTTACCTCATCATAGACAGGAACTATGATAGTATACACTAGAGATRAGGATTTATTTAGTAAACCTACCACTCCAAATAATTTGTGCAGCCCATGAGAACTCAGTAAAATTTAAAATTTAGTTCAATTTTTAGATTTTGCTTAGGCCTCTTCAGTCCTTTCACACGGTCAGATGGATTTTTCAGGATCTATTTTCTTACTCTTCAGCTTTATAAATGAGACTAAATAGACTAAAGAGATTTAAAACACTTCTCAATCTCAATGCTGTGTAGAGTGTCTATTTAAACTTATTTAAACTTTAAAGAACAGTGTCCCTAAAAGYCATAAAGATTCATACAACTATTTTTAAAGTCTCTCTATATATTTCATCATTGCCCCTTTTATTATAGAGCACCTTTTTCAATTAGCCACAAAGGTAATTAAAGGCAAGAAATCGAAATTTTTTTGTCTCCCTAATTTTACAAATAATCATAAGATTTATTTAGTGCTTACCACACGGGGAGCACTTTGCAACAAATTCTACATGTGATGTAGTCCTTACTTTTAATGAGTTGAGAATAATTTTTTTTCTTTCATTTTTTTGAGAGAGTGGTCTTGCTATGTTGCCCAGTCTGGCCTCAAACTCCTGGGCTACAGTGATCCTCTTGCCTCAGCCTCCAGAGCATTGGGACTACTGGTGTGAGTCACTGCACCTGGCTCTGCTTTAACTTTTTGACTATTATGAATAATGCTATGAATATCTGTGTACTTTTAAATTTTTTCTTCCAGTGCTGGTGACTGAATCAAGGGCCTTGCACCTACTAGTCAAGTCCTACCCTAGCTAAAGAGTCTAGAGATCTTATGCAGAAGATAGGCAATATACATATTAAAATTAATGGGAAGAGAATGGATTGTCAAGGCCTAAAATAGTTCACGAAGTGCTCAAGGGCAATAGCAATGAAAGAAAAAGTTTGGGTAATAGAGAACAGAAAGCCCCTAGCATAAGAGCAGAAGAGAATGGTGAGGTCTACTCAGGGAAGGATGAGTAAGTAGTTCAAATCAGTTTGGTGCAAGTAAGAATGAAAGCAGTAAGTTTTAAAACTGGATAGATAATCTTATGTTATACTAAGGAAATTGTTTCTTAGAGTGAAAGCTATTTTTCAGAAAGATTAATCTAGGTATAGAATAAAACTATGAATGGAAGGTGAGAGAAGTACTGAAAGTAGTTACATATGGAATATGTTTGGAGATTCAGTATTCCTCAGGACAGAAGTCACAGCTGATATAAGGCAAAGAGATGATGCATGAAAGTGAGAAATAGTTATACCAGTAAAAGTTAAAGCCTTAGCTGGGAGCATACTTGAATTAGGGCAGAGGAAAAAGGAAAAGATTATAAATTGACCCCTGACAAGATAAGAATGAGAAAAGGAACATCATTATATACTGTCACACATGTTGACATACATAGGACTGGCCACTTGCCTCAAAAGCCTTTAATGCTTTGTCAAAAATTAGAAATAGTAGTATAATGAAGACCCATATATACTAATCTAGTTTGAAAAATGTACATTTTATAGTGGTATTCGAAGAGCCTTTTTATTTTCCTTAATAAATGAGACATTAATGGGGGGAGGGAAGCAAGCCTTTCCTGTTTTTAAACAAATTTGGATAACAGGTCCCCATTCAACTTCTAGTGTATCATTTGATAATAAGAATTGTTTATCACTCTCAATTTTAGGAATTCTGATTGCTTTGTTATATTTTAAAATTGTATTTTCATTTTTCTTTTGATTTTTTTCTTAAGATTTTTTTCACCTTTCTAATTTTGTTTTAGTATTTTGTGTGTTCTAGGGTTACCTTCAGTGTAGAACCCTGAACTCTTAACATTTGCCTAACAGAAGAAATTCATTTTATGTTAATCATATTCTTATTGTTTCTTAGGAATAATAATATGCTATGTAGCCATTACTTCCGGGAGTATATTTTTAATATTTCTGCTTAAGAGTTTTAAGATTTTTATAAATATTAAATTGTATTTGATTGATGGCTTGAAAGATTCTGCAATGCCAAACTAAAAATGGAAGACTGAGACATGACRATGGGATTTATTGATTCAAAGCTACCTCAGCAGGGTCCTTAGCACACAGCTGAGCTCTAAATAAATGTCTGAGCTCCCAGAACTTTATAAAGGTATCATTTCCTATTTTCTGCACCCCCTACCCCAGATCAGTGGATCTCAAATTTTAGCAAGCACCAGAATTACCTAGAAGGTCTCCTATAACACAGATTGATAGGCCTCCAAAAATGCTTATTTAGTTGGTGGCAATGAGGACTTGAGATCTTAAAACTTCTAACAAGTTCCCAGATAATGCTGATGGAATGGTCTGGTCTGTAGAGCTTATCACTATTTTAGTTTGTTACTTAATAAGCCTGTACAAAACACCTTTCTATAATTAAGTGATGCGTAAAGAGGTGGCTTATAGATGTGTATTTCCACTCCTGATCCCTATTCCTGATCCTTTTTTTATTTGGGAACGGTCTATTAGAACTGCTGACTGTCTCCTTGGAGATTGTTTGCATACTCCCTCTCCTTGCAATTTGAGATTGACTTCTATAGGGCAAATTTCTATAGTAAGTCAGTAAAAGTGACACATATTTATGTGTGTTTATTCAGTATGTGTGTGGATTCAGTGGAAATAACATCTTGGTGTCACACGGTAGTAGAATTCTAAGTTTAATAAACTTGAYAAATTAAAAAAGACAAACAAATTCCTCGATAGAAGACCTGTTGGCATGATAACTATTACTGAGCAAAAATACAATTTAACATCACCATAAAAACTAGACTGAAAGTGTGTATTCCCCAGGTATTTTATGAATTTTGTAAATATAAAAACTGTGTTTGGAACATCAGAAGTCTTTAAAATGAAGCTATATATAAAACATAATGACTGTGATTATCATGCACCATGTAATCAAATTTCTCATTATTATTAAGGTTTATTTATAAGATTCTTAAGGGGTACTAAAATTTAACTTTGCTTTTTAATAACAAAAATAATTTAGTGGCCTCTATTATTTAAAACGATAAGTAATTTTAAGGAAAGTTTAAATGTTGAATTCGTCAACTGATAAGCATCCTATTATATTCTTGGGAAAACTTCTGTATAATATTTAGGCTCGCTTATATTATCTTATATATTAACCAGTTCAAGCACTGGCTGCCAAGAAACAGCAATGTATATACACATCACATTGCTAATACCCCAGAATGATGCTGTAGTAGCAAAGATAAATTTTGGAAGTATCTACAAAAGAATCTTCAAAGCTTGTCACTGCCTCAAATGAGCAAGAATGATATGTACATGGAATGATAAAATTAAAAATCATTACTTGGAACCATCAATTATAGTGATTACTGATTCAGACAGGACCATCAATGGGTACTAAAACTAATATGAAAATTTAATAAGAAGTAAGACGTTTACAATAGTACATAGTACTTACAAACTATTTATTACAAAGGGAAGAAACATGGTAGATATTGTTTCCCTCAAATGATTATCAGATGGGACAACCTGAAATTGTGCACTACTCCATATGATGCACTGAGAAAAATACAGCAWTACCTTTTGATATCACTGTCCAAAAAGCACACTGAGCATGTTTAAGAAAATTTGTATTTTAAAAGACATTTGTTCACATTATGCATGAAAGAGTCCCCCAAAACATTAAACTGGTTTTGAATTTAAATATATAAAGTTTGAAAAGTATGATGTAATACAAAAGTAAAACAAAAAAGCTTGTTAGAATAGATCAATTACTTATGATTTAAAAACCAAAGAAATGAAGTATGTACTTAAAACAAGAACAATTAATACAAAAAACAAATATTTYAAGGGCTTTCAAAGCTTACCTTAAGTGCAAACTTGCCACAATGAAATCCATTATTCTGTATAATTAATATGCACTTACTAAAAAAAAGCCTACCTTAAATTTATACTTTGTACTACGTCTGAGATTTTTCACAGTGTAAGCAAGATCTTCTCCATCATACTTAGGCTTAAAACCATAACCCTGAAAAAGAAAAAAACAGAATCTTCATTAGATGTTTAACAGGAGAAATATAGGGAGACCCAGGTTTCTCCTCTTCATCTCCTRTTAGGTGCAATGTAATTAATACTCTGTTATTCTCATGTTGATGCTTCTATCCTGAGTGCATGGACCCAGAAATGCTAGTGAACCGTTGTAGAATGAAGAAGGAGATTACTTAAATTTTCAATAAATATAGCAGCCAAGAGAAGATCCTTGTGTTGAGGGAGGAAAAGGGGTCAAAGGCAACTTCTCCATCAGTTACCTATCCCAAGAACTAAAGGGAAGTTYCCAGATGTTACACAAAAGCTAATCAGTGTGTAACTATTTAATAGTTTAATTTGTCCTGAATGTGTTGTATTCAGGTGAATAAAGCAATGGCTGGTTGTACTGGCAGGTGAGGATACTTCTCAGGTTTGAGACTGCTATTTATAGTTCCAATGACAATGCTTTACTGTTTTACCAATGCTATCATTTTTAAAATTTTAAAAGTTTAATTTGTCCTCAATGTACTGTGTTCAGGTGAATAAATCAATGGTTGGGTGTACTGGCAGGTGAGGATACTGCTCAGGTTTGAGCCACTCTTTACAGTTCTAGTGACAATGCTTTACTGCTTCCCTAATGTTATCATGTTTAAAATTTTAAAAAACTGACATACAATTCATACATAAAATTCCACTGTTTCATAGTAATATAATTCAAAGGTGCACAAGATTGTGTAGCCATCACCCAAACCCTAATTCCAGAATCAAGCCTGTCCTTTTTTGGTTAGCAGTTACTTTCCCCTCTTTTCATCCATTTTCTGCTTCCATCAATTGTCAATTCGTACAAGCGGAATCACACAATATTTGGTCTTTTGTGACTGGTTTTCTTACTTAGTACAATGATGTGAAAATTCATTCATGTTCTGGCATGTTATCAGTATTCCCCTTTTTATGGCTGAATGATATTTCACTGTATAGGGTATACCACATTTTGTTTATTCATTTATCCACTGATGGACATGAGTTACTTCTACTTTTTATTTTTTGAGACAGGGTCTTGCTACATTGTCCAGTGCATGCTAGGCAAGTACTTTAGCACTGAGCTACATCCCCAGATGAACTCTTGGACTCAAGCAAAACACTTGCCTCACCCTCCAGAGTAGCCAGGACTACAGGTATGAGCCACTGTTCCTGGCTCTGCTTCAGTTTTTGGCTAGCACAAAAAATGCTATTATGAACATTAGTGTACTTTTTTTTTTTTTTTTTTTTTTTAAACAATGACGAGGATAAAACCAAGGCCCTTGTGCATACTAGGCATTAACTCTACTACTGTGCTATATATCTTATCCTCTGTACAAATTTTAATCAATATGTGTTTTCAGACTATTGCTATTTTGACCCATATTGTTTCAAAGTAGTTTTGAAAAACTATGGAACTACAAAGATGCTATGTCCGTTGAAAACTAAAAAATAAACATTAAAAATTTTTTTTAAAAAAGAAAAACTATGGAACTAAAGAAAGAAATAACAGAATATACCCTCTTATTCAGCTAGGTTCTAGCTCACAGAAGAYGAGCAACAAGTATCCATTCAGGCTACACTTCGTCTCACGTAAGACTCTTAAATCTTCTGTGACACTTTGAGAAGTAGCATATAATTATAGTTGGAGAAGGTAGACTTTTCCTCATCTTTTAAAGGTGCTTTGCCTAGTAGGAGGCTGTGATCTTCTCCCTCCCCAAAATATTTTCCCCAAAATGGATAGATTTTCTTCTTCTGCAGTGCATGCTAGGCAAGTGCTTTAGCACTGAGCTACATCCCCAGATGTTAAATGAATACATTTAAAGTATAATCTATGCTTTTTTCCCCCAGTACATATACACTCAAAAAATAAATGACTTTTTTACATTTGAGGAAAACAAAAGATTGAGTTCTCCCTCATTCCCAACTCCTCCCAAATAATAATAAAAAGGCCTRAAGGGACTTGGGGCAGGAGCTAACTATTGTGGCAATATTTATTTATCTGAAGTATTATGTTACACTAAAATGTTTTCAATACCCTATTTAAAATACATATTCATACTTACTGAAGTTTCTTCTTCCATCTCTAAAATATAAGAAATTCCTTCATCTGACGGTGTTCCTGAGGGTTTACTCCACTGTAAGGACAACCAAGTAACTCCGGCCTTTGCTAATACAGGACTTGCTGGCATAGAAGGGGCACAGCCTGAGGTGTAATATAAGACTTCTTCACTAAAACCACTGTTGAAACAAACAAGTTTTAAAGAAGAATAACAAGAATTATTTTTATAACTAAGGAATAAATTTTTGACTAATGTTATTTTTTTGAAAATGAAAATTTTTATTTTTGCAGTATGGAGGGGTCGGTCAAACCCAGAGCCCTGAACATACTAGGCAAGCGCCCTGTCACTGTCACTGAGCTACATCACCAACCCCAGAAAATGAAAACTTTTGATGGTTATTACAATCCAAATAATTTATCTTGGATTTGATAATATCTTCAAAGTTAACCAGGTTAAATATCAAAAAGTGAATTAGTATTCTTTAAAAAATGTAGTGGTTGTAGTGATGCATGCCTATAATTCCAGCGACTTGGGAGGATGAAGATGGAGGATCCCAAGTTTTTTTTAAGAGACAGAGAATTTTTTAATATTTATTTTTTAGTTTTCAGTGGATACAACATCTTTATTTTTATGTGGTGCTGAGGATCGAACCCAGCACCCCATGCATGACAGGCGAGTGCGCTATTGCTTGAGCCACATCCCCAGCCCCAAAGTTTTTTTTTTTTTAATATTTTTTTAGTTGTAGAAGATGGACATAATACCTTTATTTTTATGTGGTGCTGAGGATTGAACCCGGTGCTTCACACGTGCAAGGCACAACCCCAGCCCCAGAATATCCCAAGTTTGAGATGAGCCTCAGCAACACAGTGAGGCCTTAAGCAACTTAGCAAGACCCTCTCTCAAAATAAAAAATAAAAAGAGCTGGGATGTGGCTCAGTGGTAAAGTGCCTGTGAGGCAATGTTAGCTGCGAATGCTGGTATAAGCTATAATTCCAGCTATTTAGGAGGCTGAAACAAGAGAATCTAAAGCTCAAGGCAGCCTGGGTAACTTAGTGAGACACAGACTTAGAATAAAAAGATGGGGTTATGGCTCAGTGTTTGTCTTGTGTGAGGCCTTGGGTTCAATTTCAGATACTGCCAAAAAAACCAAAAATAAAACAAAGTAATAACAAAATGAAACAAACAAACAAACAAAACCCACCAGAACAAACAAAAACCAACAACAAACTTCAGTACTGTTCAACTTTCCTATCTTTTTTTTGTTTTTGTTTTTTGTGGTGTTAAGGATTTGAACTCAGGGGCCTCAGTATGCTAGGCAAGCACTCTACTGCTGGGTTATATCCCCAAATCAAGACTTTATATTTTAATTACCTAGTCAGTGAAGAAATACACACTTATATGAAAGGTGTGAACACAGTAATAGTAACAGACTTCTATTGGTACAAACATACTTTCATATAATGCCATTTATATGAAACAGAAAATGCAAATTCTTGATTAGATAATTAAATACACCTGCCCTCATAAAGGTGAGTAGGGTTATCTCTAGAATATAAATAATTTCAATATGATTCTCTTTGTATTTAAATCATTCATCTTAGATGCGCTTGGAATTTAACAGACTTAAACAAAACAATGAAAGCACATATGCTGAGAATTAATACAAAACTTCTTAGTCACAGGTGAATGTTTTAATTTATATTTGAAATTGGAAAAGTTGCTAACTTTATTCTTACCTGCGGCACTCACAAAACTAAGAAATTCTCTTACAGCTTTTGTTAATATTGTAACTATGTCAACAAAATAGAGCAGAATTTCTAGTGGATAATTTGAACTGAATAAGCATGCATCTGAATGAAGTTGAACAGATATCTCCAATATTTATTTTATAAAATATGTCTTACCTTGTACCATAGTCATTTTTGGCTGATAGTCTAAATTTACAACCCATTGCTGGTGACAGTTTAGTAATTTTAAATTGCTTCTGTAAGCCCGTGTAACACTGACAAAATTCTCCATTTCCTTTTCCCTAAAAGAAATGGTTACATCGTGCATATTATTTTAAAAAAAGGCAAATCCACATCAATTCCTTCTTGATAYTAGCTAGTATACATTAAAAATCATTTGTTACATGTAAATCATGGATCTTAAGAAAAGTATGTGACATATATATATGTATGTGTATATGTGTATGTATATATATGTATGTATATATATAATACTTCATCAAGTGCAGAATTAAAGAAAGTAGAAAGTAGGTATATTTGTATAGCTTATTGAATTAAGTACAGTGTTTTAGATAATGCTAGACCTAGCCATAATAAAAAAAAAACTCTTTCCAGGAATGATCTTATAATCTTCACAGGGGACACTGGTAGTAGTGGAAACAGAATGGCAATTAAAGYGGCAGCTTTTCTTCAACCTATGAAAAGTTCTATGCAAACAGGTTTTTTCTTTTTTCTCATTTCTTTTATCTTTTCTCCTTCTTGGCATTGAAGAGTGAACTCAGGGGCACTTTATGACTGAGTTACATCCCCAGAATGCCCTCTCCCGCAACTTCCACCTTTTTAAAAGTTTTAAATTTTGAGACAGGTTCTCACTATGTGGCTTGGGGCCTTGTTTAATTGCTGAGGCTGGCTTTGAACTTGTGATCCTCCTGCCTTAGTTATTTGAGTCATAAGCAACAGTTTGGATTATTCAGCAAGGTTTGGCTGAATACGGTTTTAAGAAAAGATCTCTACTTATCCTCAAATCTCATCCTAGATACTGCTAAGTACCTTTAAATGAAGATTTGGAGGAGCCACTGATTAGACTTGGCACTGAAAGAATCCTAGCAACACCGAAGACAGAATAGCCCTTCTAGGTAATAAAAAGGGAGAAAGAAATATCGGGTAGGCTCAGGACAACTAGTTTTAGAAATGTAGGGTGCTGAGTAAAATTGACAAGTTTCTTGTTCTCCACCCATTTTTCTTTTCTTTTTTTTTTTGGTGCTTGGGGATTTGAATCCAGGGCTTCATGCATGCCAGGCAAGCACTTTACCACTGAGCCACATCCCCAGCCCCATTTTTCTTTATTGGGTTGGTAGAGGTAAAGGATGGTTAGGAAGACTCTTCAGAGAAAAACTTTAGCCTATACCTAGTTATTTCACAGAACTCGCTTATTACTTTTAATGGTACTTAGTTGAGTCTACTGAGTGGTATAAGTAGAAAATCATCTTTAAATGATAATTTGGCTTCTCAGCAGACAYCATGGCTATAATGTCCTGTGTCAGTTCAAAGTCATACAGCATTAACTATAGTTTCTTGAATAATGTTAAACGCAATTGTGGATAACCAGGAACCTTGACTTGTTTCTGCTTTGACCAGAAATACTTTATTGATTAGTGATGGCACAAAAATTATCAAATCAGGAATTACTGCTCTATTTCTACTTGGTGCTAAATTTTACCAAATATTTTCTCATCATTTATCATGACAATAGTTTTCCTTCCATATTAATGTGATTCTGTTAATGTTAACAGAAATTTAAATTCTGGAATTAAAACCTTCTTGATTGTGCTTTTAACTATAACTGCTGCATACCCAAATTATCAATGGAATTTCTTTCTTTCTGGCCCCTTCTCTTAGGTATAAGAAGCAGGAAAAGAGAGAACAGGATTGCCAAGAGCAAAACAATGAACTTAACAGAAAGCTGAGTATGCTTTCTGTGCCAGGATGAATAATGGCTCCCAAAGATATCCAGGTCCTAATCCCTAGAATCTGTGAATGTTATGGTAGTGACAGGACTGAACAATATGACAAGTTAAGAATCCTGAGATGGGAGATGATCCTAGATTATCTGGTAGACCATAAATGGAATCAMAAGAGGGAGGCAGATAGAGATCTGAAGGCAGAAGATAAAAAAGTTGATGTGACAGTGGAAGCATGGGGAAGATAAGCAATGTCATCTGTCTATGAGGACAGCTTCCAAAAGCTGGTCAAAAGAAAGATTGTAGAGTCTCTGCTAGAGCCTCTGGAAGCAACAGAGTCAGGCTGACAACATGATTTTGGCCCAGTGAAAACCATTTTAGACTTCTGAACTCCCAAATTGTAAGAAAATACATATGCTGTTTCAAGTCATCAAGTTTACTGTAACAGAGGACATTCTATTACATTCTGTTACAGCAGCTGTAGGAAATAAATGTCCTTGTCATTAAGGCTGATGTAGGGAAAAAAATGCCTTCATCAAGATAATTCCATGACAGTTTTGATGGTGATTTAGTTAAAACAAAACAGAGAGGTGKTTCAGTCAGTAATGTTTTCTAAGAACACTATCAATCCACTTATACACCACATAAAACCATTCATATTTCTAAGAAAAAATAAATAAAAACAAAAATGTTATTTTTKTCTGAAGACATATACATAATCTTAATCATTTAAAAAGATTAAATTTGCTTACCTCATCCCATTCTAAAATAAAGCTTTGGATTTTAGAACCATTGTCACTAGGTGCCTACAACAAATACCAAAAAACAACAACAAAAAGAATACAAATTAGTACTTTCATAAATGATACCGCAATCTAAGCTAAGGGATCTATTTTATATTGTGGATGTTCTCTGTGACTTAGTCCTGGAAAAGTATCCATAGAAAAACAAGAGGCTACAAATTTTTGTGAACACAGAATAATCCTTTAGCAAGAACTATCCGAATATTCATAATCCTTAAAAAAAATCACTTTGCTCTTCTCTCAGGCTTTCAGTTCCTTTCAATCAATCCTATCATTATAATTAAACACGCACTTTAAAATTTATATGGAGGGCTGGGGCTGTGGCTCAATGGTAGAATGCTTGCCTGGCACGCATGAGGCACCAGGTTCGATCTTCAGGACCGCATAAAAATAAAGGTATTGTGTCTACCTACAACTATACTAAAAAATACATACAAAAAAAATCTATATGGAGAGGTTGGGGCGGTAGCTCAGTGGTAGAGCACTTGCTTAACATGTGTGAGATACTGGGTTTGATTCTCAGCACTTGTATGAATAAATAAAATAAAGGTCTATCAACAACTAAAAAATATTTAAAGAAAAAAAATTTATATGAAATATTGTGTGATACACCAAAGAAGGAAGAACTAGGATGCTAAAAGGAACTCTGGATGTCTATGTGTAGATTCAATAAAYCCATCACCTGAGATGAACAATTCAGTAATCTGCTTATCTTTAGGGGTGAAAATTAGAGTCTCCCTTGGCATTTTACTGCAGCATGTTATCACTAGAAATCAAGAATCTCAACCTTATTCTTAACTGAATTTTCTTCCTAAAATTTCAACTCATTTCATCTTTGTAGAACACATGATTATCACTGTTCTTACGACTTCATATTAGAAGACAACTGTGAAATTTTGCTTGTCAAAATTAAATAACTGTAAGTTTTGAAATGGTTCTGCGGAGAATTTGCCTCTATAATTTTCTGGAATCCATTTTTAATATAATAACTGTCAATAATATAAATAGCAATCAAGTATCACTAATTTTTTAAAATTTGTTATATATGATAGCAGAATGCATTACAATTCATATTACACATATAGAGCACATTTTTTCATATTCTGGTTGTACACAAAGTAGAACCACACCATTCATATCTTCATACATGTACTTAGGGTAATGATGTCCATCTCATTCCACCGTCTTTCCTACCCCCTCCCTTTTTTTCCCTCCCCTTTATCCTATCTAGAGTTCATCTAATCCTCCCATGCTCCCGCCTCCCCCTCAACCACATTATAAATCAGCATCCTTAAATCAGAGAAAACATTTGGTATTTGGGTTTTTGGGATTGGCTAATTTCACTTAGCATTATATTCTCCAACTCCATCCACTTACCTGCAAATGCCATGATTTTATTCTCTTTTAATGCTGAATAATATTCATATATATATATCACTTTTTTTAAGGATCACAAATTTTTTAATAATGTCTTTTATAAGTTTAAATTGTTGAATACTAACAGATCTTTCATCTTAAAAAATTAAACATACTATATAAGTTAAAGCAATATTCAACTCATTGGCATAGCAATGACAGTTAAAAGTGAACAAAATGAGAAGGGAGCAAAGAAAGGATTGTTGGGAGACTCTGATATAGAAGAGGAAAATAATTCAGACATAGAGACTGCAATAAGGGGTGTAAAAGAGGGGTGTAAAAATATTATTTCCCAAGAGTTAATGACTGCAGGTTGCTCTCATCTATGGTTGTTAAAAGTCTCACACTTTCCTTTCACATTAAAAAAAAAAAAAAGTGAGGCTATTAAAATGTCTACCTTCTACAACCTGAGACCCATCTTCCAGCTTTTCTCCAAGTTGGAGGAGAAACTATGTTTACYTTAGCTCATTTAATCATCACAGCAATTCTAATATATTATTACCTAAATTTTACGACACAGGAAATGGGGACTTGGAAGAACATAAGTAAATTATCATAAATCACAAAGAGTCATTAGAATGAAGCAGAACTGATTTTGGTCTGTATGACTCCCAAACCAACATTCCTACCAAACAATATTCCAGAGGCTAAGCAGATTAGCCTGGCTCCTGGCAATTAAAGAGAGTAAGAGCCCAATCTCAGCTTTTTATTAACACCATTGCACTGGCAATTATAAACATCAATGGATAAAATACTTCCAACTGCTACCCCAAGTGCCAACTCATGTTGCTGTTCTTACTCCACACTAGTTTCCATTGGAATGCTTGTAGATTATGCAAGACAGCAGAGCCACAAGACTGGATACCAAGTCACTAAACTAATCAAGTTTTTGTCTTTTTTTTTTTTTAAATATTTATTAGTTGTATTGGACACAATATCCTTATTTTACTTATTTATTTTTATGTGGTGCTGAGGATCGAACCCACGGCCTCTCACATGCTAGGCAAGCACTCTACGGCTGAGCCACAATCCCAGCCCAAGTTTTCTTCATCTTTAAAATTAAATAAAAACAGTAGTATTATGCTATTTATATTTTCTAGACATAACCAAGCATTATAAAAATTATCTGTTTAATCCTCTCAGCAACTCTGAGGTATTTAAAATTATGTCCAATAACATTAACACTGATGGCTCTTTCCTCAACTACCCAGATTACTGCGTATTTTCAGGGCCATTTCTATAAGAGTCCAAGTCTGTGTAACTTGAATAAGAAGCACTTGCTGCTTACATTGGGCTGTTGGCATATTGGTAAAGGTAGAAATTTCAGAACTGCATTTAGATTATCTTTAGAATGAAGAGTAGTGAAGGGATGTTACCCAAATGCCCTATCAATAGACAGGGCCCGAGCATATTCATCAATAAAAGGTCTTGCTACAACTAAAGAGTGATATGGAATAAAGTTAGCCATACTTTTTATTACAATGGAAATGTGTATATATTTGATTTGCATATACTCATGTACTTTAGTTTTTTTTTAAACAATCAATTCCACATTTTTTTTCTATAGTTTTTTTTTTAATATTTAAAAAAACTGAGTCTAGTTACTATGAATCTGATTTTAGGATAATATTTAGGATATAAAAGTATTATTACAAACTATTACAAACTCCACAGAACATTAAATATCCTCAGAACTAGGGGCTAACAAAGCTACTAATCAAGTAGAAAGCCCCAAATTCTCAAAAGCTTTCAGAGGAAAATTAGTAATAAGTTTTGTTCTTGAAAGTACATAATTAAATCATGGTAAGTGGTTATAGCTCACTGCAAAYCAACGGTTGCTAACAGGGGTATTTCTTTGTAGAGAGTGTTTTGAAATTTTGTAAGGGGTATTTCTGATCTGATCACAATATGCAGGTGAAGTGGCTGATGGTTATAAGGTACTGAGAGCACTGTAGAATGTTGGACGATCAGTCCAATAAGAAATTGGTCCTTTCCTCTTATCACTTTTGGATGTCTTGTTAGATGTCCATGTAGGTGAAATATCTGTTTGTAATGATTAGAATCTAGAACTTACTTCCATTTGTTAAGGTATTTTTTTGTACAGTTTGGAAGACACTGACTTTTCCCAACATATAACTACTATGCACTTTGGGAAAGACTATTTAACTTTTAAAAAAATATTTAATTTTTAGTTTTAGTTGGACACAATGCCTTTATTTTACTTATTTATTTTTATGTGGTGCTGAGGATAGAACTCAAGGCCTTGCACATGCTAGACGAGCACTCTACTGCTGAGCCACAATCTCAGCCCAAGACTATTTAATTTTGTTCTGAAATATACCAAGACCTGCACACTATATATAAGAAATTAATGTCACAAATGAGAATACTGCTTATGGTATCTGAATAATCAATTCCACGTATTTTTTTCTATAATATCTTTGTGTGTATTTGGGCCCAAACATTGCTATATTAGAACATACAATATCCTATTAAGAATAGCTTTGTTTCTCCTTTAAGGCAGTGTTTTTTTTTTTTTTTTTAAATATTTAAAAAACTGAGTCTAGTTACCATGAATCTGATTTTAGGATAATATTTAGGATATAAAGGTATTATTACAAACTATTATAAATAGGAGTAGTAAATTAAGAATTATTGTAACGAATCTCAGTGTCATCACATGTACAAATACTAGGAAAAACCTGTAAGAGAATTATCTGAAGGTATAAGAATGCCTATTTCTTATATTTAAAGAACAAGTTGGCTTAAAGAATTTTCAGTCTTCAAAAACAATTGAAATTTCATACTATAGGCAGGGGGAGAAATGTACAGTTAGAACTACTTTACGAAATACTCTTACCTTCCATTGCAAAGTAAGTGAATTTTTGGTCCGATTGGCTATCCTTGGTGGATTAGGTATATCAGGTTCACAGCTCAAGGTAGTAAAGCTTTCAGCTTCTGAAGGAGTTCCCTTTATAGAATTGGACTCTGCCTGTACTCTAAGGGGATAAAATAGTTTTACCCTGTAGAATCACTGTAGCTTACTTTCAAAAGCATAATTTTAAAGTATTTTCAATAAGGTAGCTTTCTAAGTGTTCTATAAAGAAAATACAAAGAGATGATCCTTAAAAAAACAGTATAGACCAGTGGCTTTCTTTTTATTTTACTGAAACCCAAAGTAAGAAATGCATTTTAAATTGTAGACCTAACTATGTCTGTACATACCTGTAACAAGAATTTCTTAAAATAATAGTTCCTGAACCAATATTATTAATATACAGATAATTTCTATTTCATTTGATYCTATTTTGTTTTTTTAAAAATGTTGAATATAAACCACAAAATTAAATTGATGACTCAACAATGGTGGCAATCCAGTTTGAAAAATATTAGGCTAGACAAGACTTTGGGTTTAACCATGGAAAATTTACTTGAAGAGTTAATAGTTTAATAGGAATAATCCCAGCTATAAAAGCTTTTTAAAAACTAGGTGATTAACTAAATGTTATATTGGACCCTAGTTGGGGAAGCCCTAAAATTTATGTTTGGCAATATATATTGGAAAAATTATAAAACATTTTGAGTTACTCTTATTAAATTTGAAATTCTATGGTTTAGTATCTTATGCTCTTTCCAAAACACAATGCAGTAAGAATAAACCAAGTATAATTTGATTCTATTAACAAAAATTTCAAAAAGCTGGGACAAGTCTCCAGAACTAAATTAGATATGATATATTCTACAGATTCATTTCAATCCCTAGATCCTATAAACTCAGTGATTAAATCTTTCCTCACTATTACACTGAAGTTAAATGCTTTTGGTTATTTCTAGTCTAAAATTAATAAATTATATCCTATACTTACAAGGAAACTGTTAAGAAAAAACAAAAACCAAAAAACCAAAATCATAATTCTGTAATATATCATATAAAGGCAACATGAAGGAGTTCCTTACTTTGCATGGTAATCTGTAGCTGGTTTGAGATCATTTAATGTGACACTTGTTTCTTCTCCTCTGGTGGGGGAAAAAGAGTAATATTTCAGTGTTTGACAAATAAAGCATTTCCAAAGGATGTGTATTATACTGTTCTTTTTTTTTTTTTTTTTTTGGTACCAGGGATTGAATCCAGAAGGGCTTAACCACTCAACTACATTCTTAGTCCTTTTTATTTTGAGACAGGTCTCCTGAAATTGCTTAGGGCCTTGCAAAATTGCTGAGGCTGGCTCTGAATTTGCAATCTTCCTGCCTCAGCCTCCTAATCCCCTGGGATTACAGGTATGTGCCACYGCACCCAACCTACTGTTTCTTTATTAACTAAAATCTTATTCAGATTTCATTAATATAGAATTCTTACTATTTTAAAACAGCAAAGTATGTTAAGCAAATCAAATGTGTAGACAAGGCTTTTTTTTTTTTTTGGTGTGGCGTTAGGGAAGATATTTAACTTTTGAGGAAATGGAATCATTGCTAAAAAATTTATTACTAAAAAATCCATTTTGTATATAATAACATGACTTTAATTATATATATCACTATTATATTTTTAAATACAGCAGCATACAAACTAAAATCATTTGCTACAACTATTATTTGAGTATGTAGCCACAAACTAATCTGTTCTCCATTTCTTCTCGATTGTTTTTTTGGAGAGCTGGGGATCAAACCCAGGGTTTGGCACATGCTAGGTAAGTACATTACCTCTGAGCTATACTTCCAGCCCCCACTTTCCTTTTTCTTTTATTTAAAAATCACTGTTCCCAGCTGGTTGTAGCGGTGAACACCTATAATGAGTGACTGGAAGCTGAGGCAAAGACCATAAGTTTCTGGCCAGCCAGATAAGCTTGGGAAACTTTGAGAGACTCTGTTTCAAAATTTAAAAAGTCGGGCTGGGGTCATGGCTCTGTGGTAGTGTGCTTGCCTACCACATGTGAGGCACTGTGTTTGATTCTCAGCACCACAGAAAAAATAAAATAATTAAAAACTTTTAAAAAGTCTGGGGATATAGCTCAGTGGTAGAGTGAACATAGGTTTAACCCTTGATACTGCCAAAACCAAAAACAAAACAAAACCCACTGTTCCCTCTTCTATTTCTTTCAACCAAATCACTCCTATTTTGTAGACTTCTTTCCTACCCTATGCCTCTCAGTTACACTGCTTCTTAAATCAAAACCAATAAATATGATGAAAAATAATGTCTTATCTATCAAAGTACAGTTTAATAAACTGGGCAATTATAGTAGCATCCCCAGAAAAAGACTTTAATTGGTGTAGGATAGTGGAGGTTACTATTGTGTTCCCTGCCTAGGCTGCAAATGGAAATAAATCCTTCTTCTTAGTAAACAGCCATATCTAACTAGAAACAGTCATGAATACAAAATTAGAAATAAACACAAGAAAATCTAAGGCAGGGCATTTTATAATTGTATGTGATGAAATGAGATTCACTAGGTAAGTTTCACTTTCTTCTTTTTAAAAAATATTTTATTTTTTAGTTTTAGGTGGACATAACATCTTTATTTTTCATATTTATGTGGTGCTGAGGATCGAACCCAGTGCCTCATGCATTATGGTGAGTACTCCCCAGCTTTTTCCTTTCTTCTTAACAGCTATTTTTTGAAAAAAAGATACCAAGGTGGATGATGTTGCCAGTGATCCTTGTCATGATCATTTAAATGACTAACCACCTCCTTAATCATCTTGATGGTGCTTAAACTGTAAGAAGTAATTGGCTTTACCTTTCATATTTTCCATTAGAATAAACAATTTCTATATTAAAAAGGCAGAAAAGTAATTTCTGGTACTAAGTTCATTTTACAATAGAATGTATATACAAGACTTAAATCCAAGTCCACAGAGGAGCAATGTAAATGCTCTATCCATTTACCTGAGTTCACAATTCAAAGTTCTCCATTTCTTGGTCTTGGGTTCTATATACTACAATTTATATTTAACGCATCAAGAATATATGAATATGAGACATTTATTAGGGAGCTGATGGTGGAAGAGCTGAATGTGGCCAATGAAAAAGATTGTTCTGAGGAGTATAGACAGAAATGTGTATCAGCCTTCATTATACAGCAAAATCACTATTGCTGGTCAATTTACAGATCCAAATAAAAGCAYGAAGAAGGAAAATAGAACCAAATCAGAAATAACCTATTTATGATCAACCATTAATTTACATAATGGGAAGGAACAAAACTAACAAATACCTACACATAAAGACTTTTGTATTTCCCATCTTTTCCAGTACTCGAGACCAGAATTTCATAACTGTAGAGCTCTGGCACAGTAATCTGGTCTGTTTCGCCATTAATGAAGCTTGAAGGTGGTGACCAGGTAAGTACTACTGTCCTTGCCTGGATGTCTGAGGCCTGCAAAAACATAATGCATGCCATATTCAGTGATTTTCAATTRTTGGTCACTGTTTGAAAACTCCCATCCTCTGTCCACAAAGCCCAATGCACTACTTTTCCTTTAAATTTCAGCAATCATCCTTTCCTAGGAAAATTTCCCTAACATTCCTGCCAATGTTTAATCCCCCTATTACACATTGATAATACTCTCTGTTTGTTCTGGCACTTCAGTTATCATTTTACATTATACATTTACTGCATAATACTGACCATGAAACTAAGTTGAGTCAGGGGCTGTGTCTGTGTTCTCCATTCTATTTTCAATTTTGTCACAGGTTATTAAATGGATAGATATACACAAATGACCTGAAAGAGGACTGGATGAAAACTCAAACTTGGCATGATCAAGTTGAAAGAGTGGGTAAAAGGAGATTTATTTTTATTCTCTATATTTTTATATTACATCTTTTACCATAAAAAAGTCAACAACAGTAATAAACATATTCAGGATTCAATCTAAATCACTGGTACTTCTATGAAATTGCTTTTAAAATGGAGTGAAGTTATAGCCCTTTAAAGAAGCAGAGGAAGAAAAAGACTAATCAGAACAATTACTGTGGTGTTTTCCTTTCTAGTCTTTTCTTAAATTCTTTATAAACAGACTGTAATTATGGTGTCCAAACAGTATGGTCCTCAGTATTCCTTTTTCCCCACTTCTGTAAGAACATCTTCACATATTTCGTAATGCTTCAGTCATATATTTTAATGGCTCTTTCATTTTGTCCAGTAAAAACATGTCATGATTTAACTACACTTTCCTTTAGTTTTGCTTTTTGCTAATGCTAATGATGCAAGCTTTTTTTTGGTTTGCGTAGATTTTTATGGGGAAATGAGACTTCATGCAGCTTCAGAGGAGATCAGTTTATATTTCTTTTGATTATCAGTGAAGAATCCTTTCTGCTCTTAATGGTTTAAAAAATTCAATTTGAGCCGGGTGTTCTGGTACATGCCTATAATCCTAACCACCTGAGACGGTGAGGTAGGACTGCAACTTTGAGGCCAGCAAGACTGTGTCTCAAAATAAAAATAAAAAGGGCTGGGGTATAGCTCAGTTGTGGAGTGCTTGCCTAGCATGTGTGAGGCCCTGGGTTCGATATTCAATACTGCCAAAAATGGTCAATTTGTAGACTTGCTCCACTTCAATTCCAAGTACTTTTTCCTTCCCCTCTTCCCTCTCCCTGATTCCCCTCCTCTCCTGTATTGGTCTTCTTTCTACTTATTTATTTATTTGGCACTAGGGATTAAACCCAGGGGTGCTTAGCCACATGCCCAATCCTCTTTATTTTTTATTTTGAGACAGGGTCTTACTAAGTTACTTAGGACTTAATAAGTTGCTGAGGCTGGCTTTGAACTTGAGATCCTCCTGCTTCAGCCTCCTGAGCCTCTGAGATTTCAGGCATGTGCCACTGCACCTCACTATTCATTTAGTTTTAATTGGTGCATTATGGTTATATATAAAATTGGAATGCTCTGTAATTTATTCATACATGCACAAAGCATAATTTGGTCAATTTCATTCCCCTTTCCCTCATGTTTCTACTCTACTGATCTTCCTTCTACTTTTGCAAGACCCCTGCTTTTTAAAATTCCTTTTTCCTCTCTAGCTTCCACCTGAGGGAAAACATTTACCCCTTGACTTTCTGAGTTTGGCTTATTTCACTAAGCATGATATTCTCCAGTTCTATCCATTTACCAATAAATGATATAGTTTCATTCTTCTTTATGGTTGAGTAGAACTCAAATTGTGAATGTATGCTGCATTTTCTTTATCCATTTATCATTTATTTGTTGGCTGACAGGGACCTAGGCTGGTTCTGTAATTTGGCTACTATAAATTATGCTGCTATAAACAATGTTATGCACGTATCACTACAGCATGCTAATTATAGTTCTTTTGGATACATACCAAGGAGTAGGATAGCTGGGTCATATGGTAGGCAGGTTCTATCTTTATATAGCTTATTTTAAATGTATACAGATAATTTTATATAAGCCAATTCTGCTTCCACACATTTTTCTGATATTCTGCTTTATCCTATTATATCTATACTTATAAAGGGCTGGAAAATACTAATTATCTTCTAGTTTTTCTATTATTTGATTTTAACTCATTTTGCTTACAGAGTTAGCTGGATACATTTTACATGGAAATAATATAAATGGATTAAAACTATGATATCCAGTGTACCCACACTATCAGATCTCTGCCTATCCTAATGATMAGTAATATCATTTAGGATACATTGTATCCTTGCTTAAAAACAGAATGCTTTTCTTAATATTCTGCTTCACTGATTAATGTAGTTTTTCCTTAGGTCAAATCCATAATGACATATTATTGACCTCACACTTCTCATRAGTTTTAAATAAAGCCTGAATGAACATATACTAAATCAAACTCATCCCCCATATATAAATGCCAATAAAATATGAAATACTCACCACAGGTTTGACAATGTTGGAAAGAAGTGCTTCAAATGCTTTAGTTTCTTCATCTTTTTCTTAAAACAAAACAAATTAAAATAAACTTAAATACAATCCTTTCTTCCTCTAAAACATGTCTTATAAAACTAGGTTGGTATTTGAGATTTTATTTTCTAGTTTTTTTAAAAAAATATTTTAAATTGTAGATGGACAAAATATCTTTATTTTACTTATTTATTTTTATGTGGTTCTGAGGATCAAACACAGTGCCTCACACATGCTAGACAAGTGCTCTACCACTGAATTACACCCCCAACCTCCTTATTTTCTAGTTTTTTATCCTTAGTTCATACAGTGCAATTTGTGGTCCTTTAGTATTTGTCTACTTCAATTTCTATTTTAAGTTCAACCATGATTATTAATTATAACTACATATCTTTATGCACATATCTATGCACACAATTATACACATAGACACACACAATATGTATATACACATACATAGGTGAACAATAAGCTTTTCTTATAAAAAGTATATTTTTGCTGGATGGGGCACATGYCTGTAATCCCARCAGCTCAGTAGGCTGAGACAGGAGGATCGTAAGTTCAAAGCCAGGCTCAGYAAAAGCAAGGTGCTAAGCAACTCAGTGAGACCCTGCTCTAAATAAAATATAAAAAATAAGGATGGGGATGTGGCTCAGTGGTCATGTACCCCTGAGTTCAATTCCTGGTACCAAAAAAAAAAAAAAAAAAAAAAAAAAGTGTATTTCGATTCACAGTATAAAAAATACTCTCTTCTTTGGAAGTTTTGATTTGCCAATCTTGAGCAACTTATTAAGTTAACTAAGAATTTTTCATGTCATGCCATAACTGTGGTTTCCCCAAACAGGAATATAATTTGCTCAACCATAACTGATACCACTGACAAACATGAAAGTTTAGCTTAATTCTTTGGAAACATCTGTGCTGAAAATGATCAGGAAGTCTCAAAGCTGAAGTAGATGTTATTAATATATAAGCCACAAAAGGCCATTAGAGCATTATTTAAAATTTATTAATGAGGAATTAAAATTTTAAGGAAAAGGAAGATGGGAAGAGTTACCATGGCTGACATTTTGAAAATTTCCTCAAAGCTGAAAGCATCTGAGCTCCTAGTCAAATATTAGCTACATTATTTGATAATCAAACATWCTAAGAATTAGGAGTATAAGTTTAGATAAACATTCAAGAACTGAGAAAGTTATGGGATTAGTATTTATGAAATGGCAGGTTAGTATGCTTCAYCATCTCTGAGAAAACTGTTTAAAGTTTGAACTGATCTACCATTAGAAATGAAAGGAGATATAGTCAGTATCTAAGAAATCCCAAAGAACATACATACAGAAACTACAGAAGTCAAGATAAGTAGTAGTAAGAATTAATGTTATAGTCTTGGGTACTAACTTCATGTTGTAGGCATAATTGAAGATAGGTTATTTGTTAATCCAGTTTATATTTAGTTTATAGAGATTGAACCTAGTATATATAAAAAATAGTGTTCAGAGTTCATCTGGTGAACAGACTAGGGGAAGGATCCAAAGTAAATAGTATTTTAAAAGAAAAAACTTTTCAAAGGAATGAAGAATTACTATAGAGTATGTAGAGGAACTTGTTAAGGACAAATCTATTGGAGATTTACACATAAAAGAAGTTTGGAGAAATAAAATTTTGATAAAAACCAGGTTAACCTTATCAAAGATCTAGAAATAGAAGAAATGGAATCTGGATTAACATTATCTGAGCATGCTTATCTATCAGTAAAATTTATGATATAAGTGAAATTCCTGAGATTTCCTAAATTATCAAAAGCAGCAGATTAGTAACAAAACCTTTCTCATATTTAAGAAATGTTAGGGTATGAATCTAGTTTACTTGGACCAGGACAAAATGACTGAAAAATCAGAATATAATTTTAGTAGGTTAAACAATGATGAAAAGTATCAGTGACAATGGCTGAGTATTTTAAATCCTTACCTTCTAGTTCTGTATCCACTTGTATACAACCTTTCACTTTTCCCGATTTGTTTTTTGCTGATCCTGTGTTTATACCACTGGCAGTCTGCCCTTTTATAAGTCCATTGTGTTCATTTATGGGAGAAGGGCATTTCTGGGGTGATGATGGTGGACTGCTCATTTTATCCTTCTGTGTTCCTTGGCGATCCTTTAATTTTTTCTGCAAACGTTCATACGTTTTGCTAGATCTTTCATCTCTAAAGTTGGATCTTCCATGTGTAGAGTGAGCATCTAGGAAGAAATAAAAAGCAAATGTTAAGATCACTTTCCCTAAATAAGTTCATGACATGAGAACAGATTAGGAAGTAAGTCTAACATTTCTTTTTTTCATTGTTCCCAACTACTGATCTCCATAAAAATAGCTTGATGGTATGCTATGATTATCACAAGTGAAAAATGAGACTTACATGTCCACAGTTGTTTGACATTTACTCTACTGTAAGCTATTGATTTTCACGTCTCTTAAAAAAAAATCAAACATAAGTAAAAATAAAACACTGCCTGACTAAATTCCTTTATGATTTAAAAAAGGAAATCATCACTGAAAAAGATTTAGAGTTAGCAAAAAGAAACAAGCTGGACTTGAGGGGATGCAGTTGTGGCTCAGTGGCAGAGCGCTTGCCTAGCTCTTTCGAGGCCCTGAGTTCAATCCTCAGCCCCACATAAAAATAAATAAAGGTATTGTGCCCACTACAACTAAAAAATAAATATTAAAMAACAACAAAAAACCCTTAGAAGGAAACAAAGGTATACATTTGATTTACCTTGGAATAGGCAATAGTTTCTTAGATAAGAATCCAAAGCACAAAGCAAACCAAGAAAAAATAAATTGGACTTTATCAAAATTAAAAACTTTTCTGTATCAAAGGCTGCCATGAGGGAAATGAAGAGATAAAATGAGAGAAAATATCTACAAATCATGTATCTGATAAAGACACTTGTAACCAGAATATGACTTGTAACCAGAATATGTAAAGCAAAATTCAATAAAATTGGTAAAGAGCCAGGTGTCATGGCACATGCCTGTAATCTCAATTATTTGGGAGGCTGAGGCAGGAGTTTGAGAACAGCATGGGCAACTTAGCGAGACCTTGTCTCAAAATTAAAAAAAAAAAAAAAAAGCAGCTCAGTGGTAAAGCACCCTGAGTTCAACTCTCAGTGCCAAAAAAGAAAAAGATGGGGGTGGGTGGGTAAAGAATATGAATAAACTTTCTCCACAGAAGACACAAATGGCCAATGAGCACAAAAAAGATGCTCAACATCAGCAGTCATTAGAGAAAAGCAAACCAAAACTATGATGAGGGCTGAGGTTACAGCTCAGTGGTAGAGTGCTCACCTTGCATGTGTGAGGCACTGGATTCAATGCTCAGCACTACATTAAAATAATAATAATAATGGTACCATGTTTATCTACTATGACTAAAAAAAATTTTAAAAACTAAAAAAAAAAAAAAAAAAGAAAAGAAAAGAAAACCCGACTACGATGAGATAAAACTTTACATGTAACAGGTTGGCTATCAAAATTTGAGACAATAAAAGTTTTGTCAAGGATGTGGAAGAATTGGAACCCTCACATATTGCTAGTGAGGATATCTAATGGTGTAATTACTGAGTGTGCTTGTTCCCCAATAAACTAAAAAGAATTAACACATGATAGAGAAATTCCATTCTAAGGTATATACCCAGAAGTGAAAACAAGTCAATATAAAATCTTGTTCATAGACAAAAACTGAAAATAATCCAAATGTCCATCAACTAATGAATAAACAAACAAAATGTTCTATATCCCTWAATATAGTATTACTGAACTGTAAGAAGGGGTGAAATAACTACCATATGTGATAATACAGAGGAACATCAAAATTGTGAAAAAACCTAGACAATTTTTTTTTTTTTTTGGGGTACTGGGAATTAAACCCAGGGTGCTCTACCACTGAGCTACAATCCCAGCTCTTTTTATTTTCAGACAGGATCTTGTTAAGTTGCTGAGGGTCTCCCTAAGTTACTGAGGCTAGCCATGAAATTGAGATCTTCTTGCCTAAATCTCTAGATTATACCCAGTCACTGGATTATACCCAGGTATGCACCACCATGCTTGACTGGCTGTGTGAACATTTTAATGAAAATTTTATATGCAATACATATATTGTACATACATTTAAGTGACTTGTTGCAAAAGAGGCAAATTTACAAAGACACAGTTTGGGAGGAAAAGAGGAAATTGGGACTATTAATAGGTATAAGGTTTCTTTTTTGGGATGAAAGAAATGTTCTATAATGAGATAGTGGTAGTAAGGGTAGTATATACAGGTTGGGCATCCCTAATTAAAAAATCTGAAATCTGAAGTGCTCCAAAATCTGGAACTCTTGAGTGCTGACCATGACATCACAAATGGAAAATCCCACACCTGACTTTATGGAATGGGTTGTACAAAGTTATTAAAGTATTGTATAAAAATTACCTTTGGATTATGTATGAAAGGTATATATGAAATGTAAATGAATTKTGTGTTTAGAGTTGGGTCCCATTCCCAAAATATCTCATTTTATATATGAAAATACTCCAGAATCTGAAATATTTCTGGTCCCAAACATTTTGAATATGGGATACTCATCCTGCAGAGAATATGCTAAAAACCATTGAAATGTACAATAACTATTATGTGAATTATAACTTAACAAAACTAATAAAACATAAAAATGTAATCAATTAGTATATACATTTAAATTGTGGTTATTCAAATGCTTTATATTTTATCTATTTCTCAAGAAACAAAAAATATGTTACAGCAGTAGAAAGAGCAGGAACTTTATTATCAAATAGACATAAGATGGTTAAAATCCTCAAGAAACTAGTGTAACCTTGTAAAAATTATTTAGCATTTCTGAGCCTCAGTTTTCTCTTCTGTTTTTTGCAGAATATTGAGGATTAAGTGAGATAATAAATTTATGAGCACAGTGCCTATGGCTTACAAAGAATGTTCCATCAGGTCTCACTTTGGGAATCCACACAAAATGTGCATGGAAAAGGGATTATGGAAGCAGCTACTAGCTAGGAAACCAGTGCCATAAGTTATTAGGATCCTGTGTTAGATTTCCTGGCCTATAAACTTAAAACACAATATGAATCTTGCCTTCCACCATTGGGTGGTTTCGTTAGGGGTTTTAAYGATGCAAAATATTAATAATTATGAAACCCAGTTATATTTTTCTCAAACATTTACAAATTGCCAAAATTAACAATACAGACAGAAGGATGGGACTTGTAGCATAAACTCTTGCTATTGTAAAGTACGTCTAGGCTGGGGATATAATTCAGCGGCATTACTTAGCATTCATGAGGCCCTGGGTTCCATCCTCAGCATTAAGGAGTTGGGGGGAAGGTGTCAAAAGTATGTTTGTTGGACCAGCACATGAGCACAACTTGGGAGATTGTTAGAATATAGAATCAAGTCTTACAGAGATTATAGTCAAATAAAGGAGACAAGGCGTACAAATTGACCAAAAACAACAACAACAGCAACAACAACAAAAAACCCCCAAAAAACAAAAAAAAAAAACAAAACAAAACAAACAAAAAAGAAAGAAAAGAAATAGAAATTAAGTTTCCTGAATTCTGTGGGAAACAAACAAACAAACAAGATTTCAGTGCTAAAGACTGATAAGGTAAGGTTGGGGAAGATTCCTMTGAAAGCTGAAGTTTAAAAGAAAAGGAAAACCTAAAGAAAATGGGGAAGAATATTCTTGGCAGAGAGGACACTATGTGGAGAGAGCCTGAGGCAAGAAAGGCTTGAAGGTTTTGAAAAACTTAAAAAATGGAGGGCAAAAGTAGAATAAGTCAGTCAGGGGCCATAGGACAATGGGGTTCACAAACAGGACAGGGGATAAACGGCAAGATCTGGTGATAATTTTAGATGTTAAAAGGGTATGTCGGGAATATGTTGAAGCTGTGTGCTACTGGCATCTGGTGGGTAGAGCTCAAGGATCCTGCTAAACATTCAAATGTGTGCAGTTTTGTTCCCCATAACAACGACTTATCTGTTTTAAAACATCAATGGTAGCACACTTGAGAAACCCTGGTCTAGGGGAAGGGTTTGGGATTTTATTCCAAATGTAATGGGAAGTCGTTGAAATGTTTTAAACAGGATATGATCTGGTTAATACTTAAAAATGGGTTACAATTGCCATAATGAATTATTAGGGGATAAAAACAAAAAACAAAAAATCTAAGTGGAAAAGGCTGGGGCATAACTCAGTGGCAGAGTGCTTGCACATGTGAAGCTCTGGGTTCAATCCTTAAYACCACATAAAAATAAACAAATAAAAGTTCTGAAACATTAAAACAAACAAACAAAACAAAGTGGAAGGCTGCTGTTTCAGTTGTCCTGGAAAGAACTAAGGGTGAACTGGATTTGAGTAACAGTAGAGAAAAAGTAGATAATTTGGCAATCTTCCAAAAATAAAAGATATTAATTTAGATGACCATCAGCCTTCAATTTTAGCAAACTGAGTTATTAGTGATACCACCTACTGAGATGAATAAGATACAGAGAGAAAGCAGGTTCTGAGGTCTAAAACTGAGAATGATATCATATACATTTCAGTTGTCCTATAGGAGACATTTAAATGGGGATTATCAAGATGGCAGCAAGATTGGGGCTGGGTTGTGGCTCAGCGGTAGAAAGCTTGCCTGGCGCATGTGAGGCACTGGGTTCAATCCTCAGCACCACATAAAAATAGATAAAAATAGGGTAATGATCATGAGGATGATGCACTTAATATAGTGCTTGGGCAATAGAATTGTGTTATCATTACTATATGTTGTTTCTTTTATACAATATGATGAATATGGTGATCACCATCTCTTATATCTGTGCAAAGAATATCCAACTCAATAAAGGATTTTTCAGATGTCTTACCTACATCTCCATATACTTGTGAAGACTGATACTGTGGCATATACTGTGTTGCCATGTCTCCAGCACCGGTCACTGGAGAGTACATATGGCGTGGTGGAGGGGGCATCATGGTTGGGACAGGAATGAAACCAGGTAGAGGAGGATGTGGAGAACGGTGGATGACTGTGTGACCACCAGGGTGAAACTCTGGTGCCTGAGGAACCACAACAACTCTTCGAACACCATTGTCTTCAATAACCTACAAAATGAATTATGAGATTAAAAGCAGAATATAAGTAATTCTTTTCAAATATGTTAGAGTAAGAAAATATAAATTTTAGAGAGTCAATRTGAAAAAATTTATTAAATACATTAGGTACACATGAATTAACACTGAATAACATGAAACAATTTTTATTTTACAATTCAATATAAATCTTAAAATACTGATGAGAACAGTCAAATATTATAAACAATGAGCACTAATATCAGGTACATGTATTACATGCATTTAGTTATGCAATAATTGTGGTTTAACAGGAATATATTTCCTTTTCCACATTATGGCCTAGAGTGGAGGGAAAACAAATTGTGAAAAGTCAAAGGAAAACAAGTTGTGAAAAGATGAAAAAGAAGAAGAAGAAAACAACAACAACAACAACAACAAAAACCCTGGATCTGGATTTTTAAAGAAAAACTGTGTATCAGAGTTTAGGTACAAAACTCTTATGACTGCAACAAGGACAATTTAAACAGTTTATCATTTCAAGTGAGGCAAATACCAATATTAACCCCAATTTTTTTTAAGAAAAATATCTGTGGTTATGAGGCTTAGAAATTATGCTTTTTCCCTCCTTTAAATAGGAATAAAACTGAATAGATATTTTTCTTGAAATGACAGATTACCCACTGAACCTCACTGGTRCTATAAGGACACACAGGAAAGCCTCAAATGCTATAAGACTTGATCTCAAAATTAGGAACCTCTCCACTACAATAAGGCCCTTACTCTTAAGCTTAAAACGTTACTACCAAAGTAGAATAAACGGTTAACAATATTTTTCTTCATGAAACAGGAAATAATTATAAAGTTGCTAATTTAAAGACAAATCTTTTATATTGTGCATGAGGATGGCAAATTTTATATGCTAATACACACACACATATATAAGTGTTTGGTAGGTGTAAGTATATTAAAATAAAACTTRTTTGGGTATAGATGAACTTAAATTACAGGGCCAGGTATGGTGGCACATGCCTGTTATCCCAGTGGCTTGGGGAGCTGAGGCAGGAGAATTGCAAGTTCAAAGCTAGCCTCAGCTATTTAGCCAGGCCCTAGCAACTTAGCAAGATCCTGACTCAAAATTAAAAATAAAAGGGCTAGGGATGTGGTTCAGTGGTTAAGMACCATCCCTGGGTTGAATCCCCAGTGCCATAAACAAACACCTTAATATTAATCAGATTATATTAAACTTTTCTTATCTACTGGAGTGGGATATGACTGGTCTGTAACATGGGATTGGAAAACCAAATGAATTCCTGTTTATAAATGTCACAATGCCTTATTTTCAGTAAAATGGATGTCTCATTTCCTGGCCTTTTTTCCCTATTCAACTTGTTTCTGAATTTAAGTCTTAAGCAAGTGCATATAGTTGTGAAAACTGAATCACATCTGGAAACCTACTGAAAGAAATCTATGAAGTGTTCACAGGTTTTTAGTCTGGAAACTATAGGAAAGGACATTAGAAGTTTGGAATGGATTTGGAATGAGCTAAACCCCAGTATCTGTCACAATACCACTTTCTCCTTTATCAGTGATTCCCAAATCTTCAAAGACTTCACATTTCTGATAGGATTACAGTTGATAATCATTCAGCTTGGTTCCAACTTACCTTTTTAGTCATATCTTTCTTCTGTACCAAATCCTGAACCCGTAACTGCAGTCAGGCTGGCATACTAAAAAAAACCTGTGTTGAGCTGACCTGTACCTTTCCGTATCTTGTACTTTTGTTTACAGCATTTTTTCTCTTCATTTTACTTCCCATTAATCTATAAACATGCAAACCCTATCTATCCTTGCAAATCTAGCTCTAACTTATCCTCCTCCATTGATTAAAAAAAAAAACAACCTTAGAAGTGATATATATTTGGTAGCACACATACTAACACAACAAAAAGGACAAACACACCAAAAGTGAATTATTTAGCATGTTATAAGGTGACAAATTTTCTGAATAAAAGTACTGCAGGTAAGGGTACTTTTACAAAAATATTGTGAGAGAGGTACAGTTTGCAGAGTAAAATAGAGTGATCAGAGTAAGCCTYATTGGCAAAGTGAARTTTGAGCAGAGACTTGAAGGAAGTAAATGAATTAACCATATAGAATATAGAGTGCTGGGGCAGAGGGAACAGTTACTACTGAGTCCCTAATGCAGAAGTGGGGCTGACTATACCCAAGTAATAGAAGGAAGCCAGTATGACCAGATGAGCACTTATGGAGGTGAAAGGGCAGAAGCAGACAGGTCACAGAGAGAAAGGGGAAATGGGATGGCCATTTTTTATATGGTACCAAAAAAAAAGTAAAAAGGAGGGGAGAATAGGGAGTTATTGTTTAATAGGTAGGTTCACAACTTCATTTTTCAGCAAGATGAAGGGTTCTTTGGATAGATGGTGGTGACAGTATTAGAACAATGTCAACATATTCATTCACTACTTAATTGTTGACTTCTACATGGATAAGATGGTAAATTTTATGCTATGTGTATGTTACATTTTTGGCCCCCCCCCACCAAAAAACACAAAAACTAAGATGTACAGGAGAGGGAGAAAAACAAACACAAAGAGCCAGACTTCACCATTTCAAGTAATGGTCTAAGCAGCCAGTAACTTCGGCCAGAGACCTTAAGTCTCAGCTAAGACTAGCTCCTCTATTTACTACCTTTGTGACCCCTGGGCAAGTTATTCAAAATGTCTTTGCCTCAGATTCCCCATCTAAAATGGAGATAGTAATAATACCTACTTGCATTATTATGAGGAGTCAAGAATTAATATTGGTTCCTTGAGAGATATTTAAGTTGCAGAGTAAAACATATGCATATGAAAAATTAACAAACACTGCAGTTTTAAATAGAAATATCTGCTAAGTCTTCAGAGGCTTAGCTGCTGAGAAGTAGCCAAACATGTAGACATTGAATTTCATACCAACAGGGTAATCTAATGATGATGATTAAAATAAAATCAATGAATTGTAAAAAGGTAAAAAAAAAAAAAAGGATAAAATACAATTCAATTTAGTCTGTTAATAAAAAATAAAACAAAACAATGAAAAATATATCATGGTCTGATTCCTTAATCACAGTTGCCACCTAATTCTGACTAGGCAAAGTTCTATTTTCTTTCCTTTATTGAATGCAGAAATAACTGAGAACTGAAGAGAGAGGAGTTTGTGTTTACTACCTGACATTTTATATTGTTTGTGTGTCTTCCCCACCAGAATGTAAGGCCCATGATAAATCTGTTTTGCTTACTGTTTTCTTTTCAGTATCTGAAACAATACCTAACTCATGGCAGATGCTCCAAAAGTATTTGTTGAATCAAAAATATATGTATTTGGGCTGGGGATGTGGCTCAAGCGGTAGCGCGCTTGCCTGGCATGCGTGCAGCCCGGGTTCGATCCTCAGCACCACATACAAACAAAGTTTTCCGCCAAAAACTAAAAAATAAATATTAAAAAAAATTCTCTTTCTCTTTTAAAAAAATATATATGTATTTGCTTAGTTCCAATAGTATATTATAGTCTTCTCACCTCTTAGCATCACAAAGCTATTAGATTCTGTGACTTGCCTCAATTCCCACAACTACTTTTATTACCTCACCCGGAATCCTGAACTACTTCAACTTTAAGCTTTTAATACAGCTATATCTTAACTATTCACTCAAAAAATAATTTTAGATATTCAACCACATATACATGATGTCAGTAAGCACAACCTCTTTTTTCTCTAACTCTTCTACTTCATGTTCATCTGAACCTTAGTCCCCTACCTTCCAGTTTCCCATACCCCTTGCCTTTTCCTTTTGACTRTTTTCCCCAGGAAAGACAGAGAATAGATTTAGATCAGGTTGGTTTATAAAATCTTTGGGAAAAAAAATACACTGACCTTACCACTGGGTGCTAACAAAGTAAAATAGGAAATAAAGTTCAAAGGCATAATATGAACGCTTTCCTTAAATTGATACAAGTCTTTCCCCTGCATTATGAGATCTACAATCCCCCTTCCTGTTAGGTACTCTCTCATCTCCATAACAACCCACATTCCATAAAAAAGTAGCTAATAAAGCCATTAAGAAAGACAGCAGGACTTCTGATRTTGCCTTTCAGGAGTCCCATTCAGGTAGTTTATAAAACTTTGATAAGCCATTAATGTCATCACTAAAATATCAAATGTTAATTCTGCCTTGCAATGCCATGTTCTTAGGGACTATCATTACTTTGGCWGTAAATTAAAATTCCTTCCACTCTTGTCACCATTTGCTTTCTGTCATTATTTGCTTTGTGTTTACATTTTATAGTTTACTCTTTCATTTCTCCATTTGACAGCTCAGATGGCATATATTTCTGCTGGATGTAGTATGCCAATCTTTCACAACCTACCCTTTCTTATTTGTTAAATGGCAATATTAAAGGTTATTAACATTATGCCTAAAGTAAAAAGGGCCAGGCCCCAGAAATGGCTATGGAACTTATCTATGAGTAAAGTGCATAATCCTGGTTTACAGRCTATATACAATCTTTTCTAATCTTTTTGTTATCTCTGAGAGCTTCCCCCCAATTTGTAAAAAAACCAAACATACCTGGAATGTAACAACAAGGTTGCTGATTAAGTATAAGTAGGAAAAAAGGACTAATGATAGGTAAAATGATAATGTTATTTAAAATTGTTTAAAAATATTCCAGTAATTTAAAAAAGGGGATATGTGTGATAAAACAACATTAGCAATTTGTTTATAATTGTTAAGTTGGATCATGGGTACAAGACAGGTAATAATTACTACTCATTCATTCTACTTCTGTATAACTTTGAAAATGTCCATCATGAAGAAGAAATTTTATAAACACACACACACACACATGAAAGTAATAGTAATCCATATACACTAATAATTCATGTGGGGAGGTTGTGTTATACATATTTTGTGGGAATGCAAAACTGATATGAACTTTACTTGAAAGGATGGTATTATGTATTCAGAACTTCG